CAGGCGACATCGGACGAGATGGACGCCCAAGAAGAGGGCACTCAACAGACCGAAGGACCGAAGGAAGAAGAAGCCGAGAAGAGGACGCACGACACCGACTTCAGTGTCGCCACCAGACGGAGGAAGCGGGTGCGAGTTTCCTCCTCCGAAGAAGAAGAAGAACCCAGGCAGCGAAAGATGCCAGCTGCCACAAAGAAGAGTGGTCCTAGAGCAACCAGGACCACCGAGGCCCCCATGGCAGGAACAGGAGTTCCGCCAATCAACATCGAGGGCACCGCTGATTGGTCATCCTTGAGTAGGATGATGAACAGCAAGGGGATTCAATTCTCCAAAGCGAGGACGGCGGGTACCAGTGTGAAGGTATTCACAAATACACCAGCTGACTACCGTCAGCTAGTTGCACTGCTTGAATCCATCAAGCGGCCCTTCTTCACATATCAACTGAAGGAGGACAGGATGGACCAGAGGGTCATTCGTGGGCTTCCGAGAGAGATGTCAGTCAATGACATCAAAGAGGATCTGGTGAGCCAAGGCATCGCAGACGCCGTGGTTCAGCAGCTGACCTCAAGGACCACAAAGAAGCCACTTCCGCTCTTCCTCGTCAAGACGAAGATGCTGGAAAAGCTTGCAGAGATCCAGAGGCTGGCCATGCTCACGGTCAGCTTCGAGAGGAAGAAAAAGTCTTCCGAGCCCAGTCAGTGCTACCGCTGCCAGCGGTACGGGCACACACAGCGGAACTGCCGTCTCGCTGAACGGTGCGTTAAGTGTGGAGAGGACCACAACAGCACCAGCTGCAGTCTGCCAGCGCCGCCAACAGGGCAACGAAACGCCAAGTGTTGCCTCTGTGGAGAAGGCCACCCCGCCAACTACAAGGGATGTAGTAAGGCGCCGAAGAAAGCTGCTTCTGCCCCCAAAGCAGTCCCCACCACAAATAGGACTTCTTACGCCCAAAAAGTGAAGAAGCCTATGTCCACTTCTGCCCCAGCAGCCGCCACTGCTACTGGAACTACTGCGCAGAAGCAACACGGCGATGACAGACTGCTAGCAATGATGCAAGCCATCATAACCCGCCTGGATGCACTCGAGGCCAAGATGCAAGACAAGCACTAGACCCGAAATGTCTACAGGTCAAAACGTAGAATCTCTACGCATTATCTCCTGGAACATCAACGGTTTCAGGGCACGGAAACCAGAAATCCAGGAGATACTAGACCAGTACCAACCAGAGGTGATGGCCATCCAAGAAACGAAGTTGGATGCTGCCCATAGTCTGACGTTCCCGCGGTACGAGACGTACCGCTACGACAGAAGGGGCAGAGGTGGAGGAGTCGCATTACTCGTCAAACGTACCTTGACGAGTCATGTCCTCGACGATGCCGCAGACATAAATGGGGACGAAATCACGGTCCAGGTCCATCACAACCACCGTCCCTACAGAATCACCTCCCTATATGTGCCACCAGGGGAGGCCCTAGACGAAGATGACATCGCTGACCTCCTGAGAGGCCCAGGAGCACGCATAGTCATCGGAGATCTAAACTGCAAGTCTCCGGCTTGGAACAACAACGTCGAAGACAGGAATGCAAGGCAGCTCCAGGAACACGTCGATGCCCTGGCGGGGGTCATCGTCGGTCCGGAGCAACCAACCTACATTCCATTCGGCCTTGGGCGACCTGCGGTACTGGACATAGCCATCCTCCGCAACATCAGAGAGGAGTTCGTGATAGAGACCCTGGTGGAAGGATCGTCGGACCACAATCCGATTCTACTAACACTTGGTACAGGGTCTAGAACTCGAGATAGCTTGAGCACCAAACGGACGAACTGGAACCTTTACAAATCCAACGTCCAGAGGAACATCACTCAAATTCCAACCATCCGATCAGCGGAGGAACTGGACAACGCAGTAGAGGAGCTGGAGAATGCTGTCCTGCGAGCGCACGAGGACAGCACCCGCTCCGAGACTACGGCAGTTCCTAGATACCTAAATGGTCCAGCACCGCACCATATTAGGCACCTGATCAGGGAGAACAGAAAACTCAAGCGAGAACATCTCCAGCTGTTGACAGAGGAGTCGAGAGTTGCGCGAAACAGAGCATCGTTAGCTCTGAAGAACGCACTCGCGGAACTCCAAAACAACAGATGGAATGCAGCCTGTGCAGAACTAGAGACCCAGGATGGTACGGCCTGGTCTATGCAGCGAAAATTTCGTCGTCAGCGCACCACGATCCCCACTCTTCACGGCCAACGCGGCTTGGCCTACTCCAGTGAAGAAAAAGCCGAAGCATTCGCCGATTCGCTAGAATCCGAATGCAGACTCAATTACCATGAAGACGAGGACGACAACCACGAGGAGGCCGTGGAAGTCGCAGCCGAAAACATGAGGAGTCGACCACCTGGCCAGGAGACGGATCACCCCTCCAGTCCAGAGGAAATCCGTCTGATCATCCGCAGGTTGAAGGTCAGAAAGGCGCCGGGAAGGGACGGCATCAACAATAGGATGCTGAAGAACCTTCCCACCAAAGGCATTGCTGCGCTCACCAACATCGCCAATGCCACTCTGAGACTTAACCACTTCCCGCGGCGGTGGCGGGAAGCCCAGGTTATAATGCTCACCAAGCCAGGCAAGGACCGGAAGTTGCCCCAGAACTACCGGCCCATCAGCCTGGTTTCCTCGGTGGGCAAAGTAGTCGAAAAGGCTATCGCCGTTCGACTAGAGAAGCAGGCAGAAGAACTGCAACTTCTCCCCCCAGAGCAATTCGGCTTCAGATCCTCCCACAACACGGAACTCCTACGTAAGGAACTCAACCTTGCGTAGAGACCTGCATTGGGATACCATCCACGAGTACATGAGGAAAAAAGCGGAGAAGACCTTCGAGAAAGCTCAGGACCACCCGAACGAGCAGCTACGATTCCTCATGGACTACGATCCGGACGAGAGGCCTCGCAACCGCAGAACCAGGTACCCCAGACCAAGGTCCCAGTTGGCACCCGCTAACTGGAACCTTGACTAGGAGACTAGGAGAATTTGCGGCTGCTCCCCCCCCCCCCCCACGGCGTGGATGCAGAGGACCAGGAACCACCGGGACCAGGACCCACCGGGACCAGGACCAACCAGGACCCGCCACGACCAGGACCCACCAGGACCAGGACCCCTCAGGACCAGGACCAGGAACAACATATTGGTAAGATGACTTGAAACTCTTGATTTTTCGAAAACAAGAGTTTCAAGAGAAACAGCAGACCCTCTATCGATGATCGCTTAACGACATCGATAGAATGTGCGAGGTAAAGGGAACCAACCCGGCGTTCCCAGAGACTGAAACACATGAGGAGACGTTGTAGCAGACCGCAGGTCACGCACAACACATGGCCTACCGAGACGCTGATGAGTCGGGCCACGCGGAGGTTTAGGGTTTAGTGGGTATTAGGTGATCTCTTCAAGACCCTGGAGCCCCACACACGTCGTAGCTCGTGCTATGGTATGGTGCGTAAATGCATTCCCCCCTCGTTAAAAAAAAAAAAAAAAAAAAAAAAAAAATCATCAAACCCTATGTCGATGCTCGCTTAACGACATCGATAGAACGGTGCGAGGTAAATGGAACCAACCCGGCGTTCCCAGAGACTGAAACACATGAGGAGACGTCGTAGCAGACCGCAGGTCACGCACAACACATGGCCTACCGAGACGCTGATGAGTCGGGCCACGCGGAGGTTAGGGTTTAGTGGGTATTAGATGGTCTCCTCAAGACAACCTGGAGTCCCACACACGCCGTAGCTCGGTGCATAAACGCATTCCCCCCTCACCAATCAATTGGCCGTGAAAGCCTTAACCAATTTTTCATAAATCATAAGCATGAACAATTTGATGCAAATAGATGATTGTAACATAACCACAAAATAAAATGCTGACACGGAACAGTAGAAAACTATGAAAATGACGGAGGCCATAAAGGCGTCCTAAAATTGTCTTTTTTCTCCTTCTGAAAGACTGGGGCATTTCTAGATTGCTACTGTTCCGTGTCAACGTCAGCGCTCCCCTATTGTGAGGCTGTTTTCTTTCTGAATTGTAAGACACTTCAGGCTGATCTAAGAGATGATATAAATACCAAAGCATGGACAATTTGATGCAAATAGATGTTTTTAACATAACCTCAAAATGGAGTGCTGACAAGGCATCCTACAATTGTGTGAACGACTGACGATACGGCCTTTAGAAGTTGGAATCGACTTATTTTTTGAAGTGGGCATACTATGCTTGCAAACACTTATCCAGCAATTATCTTCGCAGAAACCAAGTACTAACATCATATCAGTCTGTTTGTCAAAAGGATATTTCACATTACTTATTAATTTAAACTTTATGTTGAAAATATTCTGGCATTGATATAGCATCCCACATTTCTGCCAAATAGTTGGGTACTAGATGTTAACACTCCGAAAAACAATTTTTCTTCCCGAAAACTATGCGAGATGGCCTGTTTTTATAAGAGACAAAAAATGATGTAAATAAAACGGTCTTTTAAATCGAAAAAATTCAGAGTCATTGGGAGAGTTGCAAAAAAATTCTACTATAATTTATGTAGGGGGAGGCGGTAGTTGTCGCACTTTACGAAACCTTTAAGATTTTTTATTAAAGTTGAATATCAGGATGTGTTGCAAAACACGTGTCTTCCAAATTTCATTCAAATCGGGTTATCGGTTCAAAAAATATCTGAAAAAATATGTTTAAAAGGAAAACTGTGACGCCCTCTAACGGACAAACGAAGCACTTTTGCATAGAAGTAAATCATGTCCAGTCGACGTATTTTGAGTATAAAAATACGTAGTACTTCTATGTCCTCGGAATATTGGGACACCCTGTATAGGGCTTCAATCGATATGTATTGAGACGATCAAACTTTTATTGAACCACCCATAAAGTTACACTATGTATAGTAGGTACCCTGTAAAGAAACAGCTACGGCAGATTTTCATAGACGACGCTACGCTATTTAATCATTTTATCTCGGGTAATTGTTTTATCACTGTTATGTGTAGATTGGCCTTAAGAGCCGTTCTGCAACTCCCCCATTCATGCGCTCATGAAACATGGTATCGATTTTTCTCATGAGGTCAGATGCGCGTCCCAGAAACACCGCATATCGCCTCTATTCGCGTCAAAACACACCTAAATACGCCATGGTTGATCCTCAAAATGACGATCCACCCTTGCTAAATCTAAATCCCGCGAGAATTGCAGCCAAAGTTGTGATACTAATAATCATCTCATTGATGACCAGATACACCATGTTCTCCAAGAACCAAAAGCCTGTGCATAATGATACCACAGGTGCTGTTGATTCAACTCAAAATACTCAAGGAAATGTAACAAGTGATCAAAGAAATGAAAGTAAACTTGTTGTGAATAAGAGAAAAATAGTGCCACAGCCTGCGTGTCCAAAATCAGACATTATAGTTGTCTTAGGCGGGATTTGTGAAGAGTTGGTTCTTAAGCATGATTTTTGCACGCCAGAGGATATTTACAATCACAAAAAGCACCAATTACCGAAGATAAATGTGAAAAATAACTCCAATAAGGAACCACAAGGTATGACAACCCTTCTTGTATCTATAAGTGGTATGTCTATTTTTAGAAATTAGATCGATCATCAGCCTCCTGGTTGCATTTCAACCTTTCCTGTTTACGGGAGTATTCTCAAAATGTATTCAGTAGATCGCTTCTCAAATTATGTAGAGAAAAACCAAAGCCTACTGAATTTTTATCTGCTCATCATTTCAATATGAGCCGTAAAGTCTATTAAAGGTACCGAGACAAAATACTTGAGCTTCCTTCCTCTTTGGTTTTTAGTATTTCAAATGTACATGGTAGCCCCAAAAGTGAAGTACAGCACTGACGAAATTTTTTTAATGTTTTAAGAAATCAGAAAGTTTCTTATTTCGAGAAATATCTTGCTGGAGCGTGACTCAGTGACATTACACCAACTACCAGTCTCCCCCAAAGTGATGCATCTGCCGGACACACTTCGCGCCATTTACAAACGTTGTTCTGCTCTGTATTCACAATTGTCAGTAAAAATGGATGAAAAATGTATCAGACCTTCTACTTTTGCAAATAAGACATTGTACGTTGGTGACAAAAACAGGCAAATCAGCTCCACAAAAGCATTTTTACGTGTGCCAAAATATTGCGCAGGGTAATGAACAGGGCCTTTTTAAAAATATCATAGTAGTGCAGTGAATCTCATTTTGATGTAACACCTTAAATTTATCTTCTGGTTTTCATGCTAATAATCCCCTTGTATGTCTGGCAGAATCAAATCACATATATGTTCAAAATGTCTCTTTATTGTACGATACTTCGGCCCCAACGGTGACCTTTTTCAAGTACAATTGTTGTACAATAAAAAGGAATATTAAACATATATGTGGTTTGATTCGGCCAGATATAGGGTTTTATCTCATTTAGTAGGTATTTAGCTGCTATTGTAAAAACGATAACAGTTGTTAGCGTAACATATGTACTTATTATCAGGGATAGAACCTAATTGGTGAATTTATTGAAGATACCATCTATACATTATGTGCAAGTAAAACTTTCAATATTTGCGACTATAGGAAACTGATTAATAAAATATTTTTGAGAGCACCAGTTGTTTAAGATAGAAGAGGCTTGATTTTTTTATTCCAGTCATTATTATCAATGTTAATTACATTCTGTATTGAATATTTGGCGATCTGGCGACTTAAGAGCCCTCCCTCACCGGGAAGGCATGGCGACGTGGTCAGTATCCATAGTTAGTCTATTATACTGAAGTATTTGGAAGCTGGCTGCGTCGTCGATTTGTGTGGGTCATGTCAGTGACATTTGTAAAGTGAATCATCGTTGCCATCGCATCATTTGAAAACTGGCAATATTCATCTGTATTTTTATCTCTTAAAAGATGCACTTCGGAATCTATCATTGGCAAGGGGATGTACTCAAAGTTTTTTTCTGTTCGTCGTAGATGAATATTGCGATCTCTTTTAAAAACATTATGAAACGACGAACATAAAGTTTGACACTGTCAAGGTCATCTGGCTGGAGACTTTCGATTCTAGAATAAGCCACAACTGCATCATTGGCGACTTACAGTTAGACTACTAGCACAGTAAATAAACACGTTTGACCTAACAAAAGCTCTATAATGGATGAAAATTTGGATTTAGGTTATTGAAGTTTTTTAGCATGACGAAAAGTTCCCAATCCCACGATAGGCAGGAACTGTAAAATTTTTGAGTATTGATTTTTTGTCACGGTCCTGGAAATATACCTATATAGAAGAAAGGTTATAGACAATTTTGTGCCTCAATAAACAAGCTTCAAAAGATGTAGTTGCAATATTTCATAACTACTTTTGTTGTGACTGAAAAAATAGTTTTTTCAGCAAATTTACTAAACTCCATAATTACTGAAAACTGTTGAAGATGTAAAGAAAAAGCTAAATATTATCGTGAATATATTAAAATTACTCCAGAAAATTTGAATGTTCTATTGTTTGAAGCCATTTCAATGGGATTTAATTCGCAGTTATAAGGGGGTATAGCCTTAATAAAACGGTCTAATTTGGGTTTTTAGAAATTTCGTCAATAACATTAATATTTCTAGTACAATGACGGCATTATCGTCAGTCTTTGGGAGCGTTTCTTCAAATCATCGTTCAAATGAACTCCCGGCCATTTCTTCATGGTAGTCGGTAATTTTCTTTGACTCAAATGCCCATAGGGCAATGGGCACAAAGCTATGTTCACTGCCAATGTGACAGATAAAAAATCGTTTTCCTTTTCCTGGAAATAATTATTCCATATGGTTTTCAAGAAAACTAATAAAAATACTGCAGAACATCTAACAGGTTCCAAATCTACCAGATATAGCTAAGTTTAGTGTAGCTAAGTTTTCAGCGTGGGCTCATAGATTCAGTCTACTTGACACCATTTTTACAACACAAATGACGAATTGGTTACATACACGTACGTGACGGAATCTTTAGGCCATCTAAGAAGGCTTGCCTTGCTGATTTAATTCTAGAGTCAGCCCATACTGTAGGTTTTGTATGTCCTGCATTTATCCAGGTTTCATCCAAGTAATAAATCTTCATGTCTTAGTCGCGGTATTTCTTTATTGATTATAAATAATTTCTTCTCCATAAAATAATCTCTTGGCTGTCCATCAAAATACTATTAATACGTTCTATCCTCAAAATAAAGTTCTTTGAGTAAATTATAGAATGTGGTCCTTTTGAAAGTAGGTAAGTCTTCATCACTATTAACCTCCTGTAATACTTTGTCTATGGTGGCATTCCGATCAAAGTTATCAACTGTATCCAGCAGCTTCGTGTAATGCAGCCTTTTGTGTGGTGGAGACAATTTTTTTGTATTCTTTAACAATGTTGAAAATTGTCTTAGGACATCCGCCCGTTTTGTTCGCCACACGTCTTTCAATATCACGAATTTTCATTTCAGGATGCTCTAAAATTTCGCTCTTATAAACGTTAAGAACAATTTCTTTTGCCTGAATATTCAAATGTCCCTTCTTTTCACGTTTCCGGGAAGGAGACATCACTGAAGAGGAAGCATGACTGAAGCAAGCATTGGGAGAAGTATTCTCAGTTTCATCTGCTGTATCCGTAGACGACGTGCTAACGTATAGACACGCTATGTATGCACCAAATATGAACAACAACTGTCGGCGTCGGAGTGCCATATATACCCCAAGCCTGAGAGAACTCAGGATAGAAATCCTGTTGAATTCTTCACTTATTCGTAGTTCTATGGCCGAATGGCCAATAGCTATTGCAACGCTTAGGCGGCTGCCGCTTTGCATCTTTGTTGTGCCGGGGCGTAAATGGAATACGAATAGGGTATAGATACTCTATATGATTTAATGCGGCATAAGTATTTGAAGTCAAATTGTCGTGAAATGAAATTTCTTTGACTATTTCCCTCGTCTTGATTTCTACCAATCGCAAATGCGCAATTTTGAATTGCAAATGGTTTCCAGGTGAGAAAATTGTATGACAGCACCTGTCAGCAGTTTTTTCGAGTTTACTCGCGGCAAAACTTGACAACTGTTGTCACCAAAAATTACAGTACCTTTGATAACAAGTAAGGATGGTCTCCTAGGACACCAGAAGACGACACTTAAGCAATTTTTTGCTGATTATTGTTTTTAAACAGTGCTAGTAAGCTTAGTTACTCATGAAATAGTCTTATTCTTATAATGTTATTCCAACACCACCACTACATAAAAGTTAATCATGATATGATTTTCATGGAATACGTTTGCAGAGAATTGCAACAAACCAAAAATTCGAATTTTACACAATCTTAACATATCCGAATCTAGTTAATTTAAGGTTATATCAAGGGCAAATTTAAAGGAAGCGATGGGGACTCCTTCTGCTTAGTTCGATTTCATTGCTTCCTACCAAGCTCAAGTTGTATCGATTTCGTAGTGACATAATGCATATCTCTTTCAGTGCCAGCGATCGTGAACTTTTTCGTGGGGTTCATGCTGCTCTCCTCAGTATTCGCCGCCTTCCTGGAAGTGTACCGCGCTCGTCGCGCCGCCGCTGCCGCGGACGGTCCTGGCGGTCAACAGGTGCTAAGTCGGAAGTGCTCGTTGGCCGAACTCACCATCCTGAAACACCAGCGCAAGGAGATGGCCCGCAGGGAGTCCCTCGCGGTGGCCCCACACCAAGATCCCAAACAGCATCAGCAAGAACTGACCAACCGCTTGTTAATGGGTAGGAAGATGTCCAGGCCCCCTTTGCGCTTCGAATGAAGGCCGTCTAGGTGTTCCTACTTCTATGTGTCGCGGTATGGGTATGGCATGGTAAAGCGGGGCGGGGTCATATATGGGGGCTTTTTAGATTGTCCGGTAGGGTTAGAATGTGTCCTCGATGGGATAAATAAATGCTTGTATTTAAATAGTCCGGCAAAGTTTTTTATAACTATTAGAAGGGTTTGGATCTGGATTTTCTAAATATTACTTGCTGGCTTCAAGTTGCCAATTTAGAAGTCGCGGATTGCCTCATATATCTCTGAAAGCATGAGCGACTGCAGGAATTTTTAGACATAGCCAAGAGGCCACCTTCTATACAGGGTTTCTGGTAATTCGCCGTATTCCTTCCAGAACGTGATACGGGGTCTAAAGCTCAAGATATTCCACTCTAAATATGTGTGATCAAAAATCCAGTCTTCAAGATGTTTCACAGCACCCACTAAGCAACTTTGTAAGTAATGCGTGAGAATCCTATAGTTTATATATATATATATATATATATATATATATATATATATAGGGTGGCCCATCCATGTGAGGACGGAATATTACTCATAAACAAATACATTTCGGGAAAATCTATTTATGGCATGTTATACATGATATTTGAGGGCACATTTATAAAATATTGGCAATTATACAGGGTGTCCTACATATCAAAGTTGTGATTTTTTTAATTGAATGCCTCAAATTTTACTGCATATTTCGATAAACCAATTCAAAATAAGAAAATTGATATAACGTACTATGGGGTTTTGGTAATTAGCTACTGAGGTGTAAGGTGTTCTGCCCAGAAAAACCGTCTACTTCGGTAACCCCTCAATCCGCCATTTTGAAATTTGGAGTGCTGAATTTTATATAAAAACAAACATACATACCTCAGATTTTATCTTATTTGTTACTTTTTTGAATTTTCAGTTTTGCTCATACAGGGTGGTCAAAAACGCGAATTGTACTTTTTCTTAAAAATTTCAAATGCATCACCTTGTATATTTGTGCAATTTTGGATACAATTTTTATAAGCTTTTTTTTGGTATAAGGTTTGATTCAGATAAAACCAGCTTCTAGCGTAATAGAGAAAAACAACTATAACAACATAAACAAACAACTATCTCTACTCAAGAACTAATCTACAAAAACTGCTTGCAAATATCTCCACCATGTTGAATACACAGCCGTAGTCTTTGGGTGAATGACCATTGCACATCCCTCAGCATGTGTTCCCTTATGTTCAGAAAAGCATCCTTAATCCTTTCCTTCATATTTTCCGGGGTAGATGGTGGATATCTATAAACCTCTTGCTTAACGGAGCCCCATAGAAAGAAGTCCATCGGTGTCATATCTGGTGATCTAGTAGGCCAAGATATAGACCGATCCGACGATTGTTACTCCAGGTGTCCAAATAGTTACGCACACGATTATGATAATGTGCCGTCATGTTGGAAGTACATATGCATCCGAGTTTGCAGGTTGACATCTTCCAGAAGAAAAGGCAAATGCTTGATCAAAAAATTCGAGTATTCTGTACCTGTTAATCTGTTGTCGCAAAAGAAAGGCCCGATAACTTGTCTGTCAATAACTCGTCCCCAAACATTCAAGTTCCATTTATTTTGGAAATCTATTTGCCTAACCCAGTAAGGGTTTTCCGTCGCATAACAGTGCATGTTATGCCTCTTGACAACACCTATGCTGTTAAAAGTTGCCTCATCGCTAAAAAAAACCTTATCCAGGAAAGTAGTGTCTTCACTCACTTTATTTAGCATTATTCTACTAAACTCTGTTCGAGCTGCGAAATCCTGAGGACGAAGGCCTTGATGCAAGCATAGGTGATATGGATGGTAACCTATGCTTGTGAATAATCCTTTGGACAGAAGTTCTGCATGTATCAGTTTCTGCTCCAATTTGCCGTGCACTTAAATGGGGATTTTCCTGCAACTTTAGTAGAACCTCCAACTGATTCGCCTCATTGGTGACACTTGGATTTTTTATACATTTTTTAGTATATTCCACTGCTCCACTTGATTCAAAACGTTCTCGTGGTGTGGAAAATGTTTCCGGTCTTAGATGTCGCATATTAGGGTACCGTTGCTTATGAATGCGAGATGCTAGGAAACGAACACCATATTCACCATTTCTTCTTTAGAAAAATTCATTTTCAAACACGTTTTTATTATAATGCTCACAAAGCTAAGGTTGACAGTTTGTAACTAATCAACAATTTATTTTTTTCCAAGGATGATGCGATATTTTAGGGAATTATAATATCTCCACATTCGCAAAAAATTATGCAATGGTCAATGATTCGGTTATGGTTATAGTGTCTTTTATGGTTTTAAAGGGTCGCCGTTAAAGCACACCCAAAATATTAACACCGCTTCCCCAATCACCGATTTGCTATGTTTTTTTGTAGTATCGAAAACACGTAACGCGGACACTGTTCGGGCTTCAGGAAATGCATTATACTGGAGCAATCCTTGAGCTAGCGATAATTGCGGGAAAACAGCTAACAAACTACTTTACCACAAAGTTGATAAAGGCAGGAGCTACAGGTGAGTGCTCATATCTATATCATAATTAAACGTGTTTATACTGATGTTTAAAATCTTTTAGAGAAGCCGATTATACGGGCAAGCTTTCCTAGCAATTGGTATGCTGAATATACTATTAATTTTCAGAGCCAGACACAGTTTTGTTTTAAGGAAAACTGAAAGCGAAAACTTATTAATTTTTGACTATTGATCACAAGTTCATAGTTTCTGACCATCCTGTTCTGTCTAATGACCGCGATTTTGGACTCATAAAACAACATGAAAAAAAGCATCAAGTACATGCCAAAAGACTGGTACTCAACTATAAAAAATTCAGACCCAGGAAATCCTTTTACGTCTACAAAATGCCAAGCACTGATTTCAACATTAGAGGAATCTGTGATAAGACGGAAAAAAATGATAATAACGCCCCTGTATCATGGCTCCGCATCCAGTGGCTTCATTTTGAGAAAAAAGAACTTTACGAAGTTTTCTACAAAGAAAGATATTGGAACTTCCTACTAATGAAGAAGAAGAAAAAGACTTTTGAGAAACTCCATTAAAGCGTCGTGTCAGTTGATAGACTTTTATTTTTTTTTGTGTGGAAGAGATACGTCTATTTTTTACTGTGTAATGATTTATTTTGTCGTTTTATAAGATCGTCAATCAACATACTATTGTGTAACTCAACTTTTAAGTAATAGATGAAACCAAATATAAAGACTGTTTTAAGGCAAAGTGGGCCAAAATTTATACACAAGAAAAAAGATACAAGAACACAAAATGTTCCTGTATTTTAAGGTTAAATACTCAAATTAATACTCCCTTTAATGGTATTTTGATTCATGCCTGCAGTTTTGTTATTCTAGCACCTACACTTTATTAGTAACTTATACCTCGGAAACGTTTTTTTTTCTTTTTTTGACTTGGACCATGCTGGCTTTCAACGGCTCATCTAGTCTCAAATATTCAAATTCGGGGATTTATAAGAGATCACAAATACTGGAAAATTACGAAAACTGGATTACTGATCATTCATGCAGATATATGGGGTGAAATGTGGTGACTTTGGTCTCCCTATCATGCCCTGGAAGAAATATGGCGAATTACCAATAACCCTATATATTATGAAAGTGTGAACAGGTCCCGAAAGTTTTGAAAAGCGGGAATAGCAAATAATTTTCTCAGGAGGGAATGATCTTAGAAATTCTACAAATTCATTGTACTCTAAACCATACTAAATCTGCTCATGTAAAAGCATTTATTTTTAATTATCTAAATATTGCTTGCTTCAAAATTGAAAAGAATAATCGTCAAACCTAGTGCCTACACAAAGTTTGACAAGATTTAAAGAAATATTTTACTATCTACAGCTTTGGTTTTAGCAACATTTCCGTTAGAGCTAATATTTGAAAATCCAGATTCAAGCTTTCAGCTTCCTACCGTATAGAAAGTCGCAATAAGTAGTAGAAAGCAGCTAGCAAAAATTGCATTATGGACAAGTTTCATGAAATACAACAACCTACCATTTCACTCGGCTAGGTATACACCGTAGTTGCCTGTAGTGCTTTTTTATAGGAAAAATATTTTATGGATTGCTGATGCATACCTTAACAATTACAAGTGGCATAGCATGATAAATTTATAGTCGATATCACTCATTCCATGAAAAACAATACGATATCGAATAACACATGCACGCTACCTGCATTGTAGTGCATCCACCATAAATTTATAATTTTCGTTGATCTAGGTTCTACATCTTCTCTTGTCCCTAATTTTTTATACTCCACATAAACAACGACGAGTATTAGAATTTGGTACAAATTGTGACTAGTCAAAAGACAGTGCGTCGAATATTTGTCGCACAACTAGTGGAATTTCAAAAATGGTGAATACTCATCATATAAGCTAGACCTTCACGGATTCGACAACCGCCAAAACTTACTTCACTTCGTTTAATTTTGGAGATGAGCGGATTAGAGGTATAGTTTTGATAGAAGTGTAGCAAATACCTCATTAACCGAATTTTAATAACATTGTAAGTGACAAATGTAAACTTTCCACGAGAGCCATTTCGATTTTTAGCAAGTTCAGTCGCTAATTCAATATAGTATGTGGCCAACAGTATATTTGGCACTGGAAAAGCTACCCATTAGAGAATACAATATTTCACATATGTAAAGAAAAACATAAAAAAGCAACAAAAGATAGGTAACTACAGTGTGAGCAAAATTTAATTTTACTGCCTAGTCACGGTAAGATACGGCACAATGTTCTTACTTGGTACGTGAGCAGTTTTTCTAAATTGCAAGAGCAAATACATTCACTGTTACGAATTACTTCACCTGAGAAAATATTGTAAAGTTACTTACCAGAGCTTTCCACCGTTGCAATATGTTACAATAGTGGCAATGATGAAATATTCGTAATTTCTTTTTTCTTAACGGCAAAATCTTATTGTGAGCAAGAAGAGCCTATTTTCATGTGCCGTTTGATTTTAAACCGTCGAATCCCTTATGGGCGTACTGAAATATCCGGGTAAGAACATTGTAACTGCATTTACACGGTATATTAGGAGTAACGTCATTGCAACACCTCACGCTGTGACATGAGTAATATTTTTCCCGTGCAAGAATATTGTAACGACACATACCATGTTTTAGTGTAATCGATGAGACGCGATAGACTCGTATGATACTTTACAATGCCAAGACTAAGATTCAGCAAAACAGAAACGATCTTTACAATGATACGAGTATAGCCGTTGTTTTTTTGGGATGTATGCAGTTATAATGATATTTGACCTGCATTTCTTTCAAATTTCAGCTAACAAATCGTCATTTTTTTTAAAATAGGCAGAAAATATCGAAGTGAATGTCCAAATGTTATTAGATGCATGTATCAACATGTACTTTGAGACCTTGTCCACCCCACAATAAATTATTTGTACTTACACCAACAACTTCAAGATTGAACCTTGTAAAATCACCAAAAATGGAGTTTGGGAAAAGTTATAGCATCTTGATGCAGGAGGACAAGAACCTAACATAATATTGATCTAATTATGCCGTCTTGTAAAGGAGAAAAAGTGGCAATGATAATACGCAATGTATCTTAAAATTTCACTACATTAGAGTGAGGAAAAAATTAAAAAGATTTTTGGAAAATTTGATTTTTTTTCGTCATTCTTCGTACTTCGTAACACCCGATATATTTTTGATGGATTTTGGAATTGTTACAATGTTATTTAAATCTAAGTACTAATTTCAGTCTACTATTTTTTGCCTCTCTGGCCCACAGATTTTCGCCAAACACCGCCGCTCCAACGTTGTTCATCTTTACCAATATCTGCTGCTGCTCCCAGTAGCGTCGCCGTTGGGTGCTTCGATCCCAGCATCCCCCCCATCCCGGAGTGCCCGATCGCATCCGCACCCGTCATAAAACGACGCCAGTCGATCGTGCCCGAACTCAGCGATCGGCGGCAGTCGGTCGTTCTCGAAAGTAGACGACAGTCCATCGTCGTGGATGTTCGTAGACAGACATCAGTGGCGGAGGGCAGAAGAATATCTGTGACTGAGCTGGATAGCTCCCCGGAAAGGAGACATCATAGCAGGCTTGTGCACAGATTGCATTAGGAGGTTTTTCATCTAAGATTTTTTTATGTTTACATAAATATTAACACCTGCATTATTTTATTGAGAATATTTGTTTAACAGATTCTTTATCCTTCAGAACTCGAATACCTATCATAAATACTCCAGGAGGGTTAGGTAATTGTAATCGCGAAAAAATTTCGAAAATGTGATATATTTTTTGGATATTATATGACATGTATATCACGAAAATCCATGTCACTCATTTCCGTCGGTATGTCTGTCTCTCGGACTGTCCACAAATCCTTGGCCCGTCTATAACTTGTTCGAATTTTAATAAAATTGTTGACTACTAACAGTAGTAAGCTTGACATAGGTCAAGGACAAAAAGCTCTGTAGTTTTTAAAAATCGATTCAGTGAGGGAAGAGCTACGGGCAAAAAACCGAAGACGACAACTCGCTCAAGCGCGTGCATATAGTGCACAGTTAATTCCTTTCATTTTGCACATGACTATACCAACTGCGTAACCAAGCTCTATGTATCTATGGAACACACCACACTATTGACCTGATCGAGTTTCGGAACTTGCATTACGCCTGGCTGCTATTTCGTATGCACGACCTTGAGAGAGAGAGGGGACTTTTCATTTTTTATTAGAAACTTTAATAACCAGAACAGGGTCCAGGATAAGAATAGAATTAGCTACTATAGATGAAACGTGCTTCCGTTATTATTTGAACAATCCCCATTCTATGTAATATATGAAGTTATTTTGATACTTCCTTGAAATATTTTTTTACTTGTATTTTGAAATTCTAAGAGTTACAGAAATAGTTATATCAGTCTAGTGATCACCGCGGACTTGTAATTTGTAACGTAATCTGAGACAGTTTTGTTGTTTGGGCGAACTGTTTTTCAAATATGGAATTCCAATCCAAATCAGAGCTATCAGATGTGATGATCCAGGCCAAGCAGAAGCTATATGTATTTGCAGAACTAATCATTCATCGATTTCTTCCAATTTTCAATGTTGTACGAATTCTATGTGTTAGAATATATATTTTAAGAAAATCCGACAATTGTGCACAAGTTATGCTAGATGTTGTTTATTGGTTGCACAGAACATAATACTCTGCTATATAAAGTGCTTTTCAAAATGGTTCCACCTTCTTATTTTTTGAACGGCTCAAAAGCCTAAATTCGATGTGTTTTCAGAAAATAATGACAATTATTTAATTTCGCGGGTTTGGAGAGTCCGACTATCAAATTTTATTACATGCCCATGTATGATAAAATTTTCAGCTAGATTGATTGTTTAGTTTACATATGGAGCCGTTAGACGTGCTTTTATGAGCTCGGCGATTTTTCTTGTTGAATTTTGTACAGAAAATGCGGCGAATGGGAGTAGCTCAGGAGTCACTAAGTGAAGTCGACAACGGTGCAAAATGAAACGTGTTATAACAGATGAAGAAACGTGAGTTTATGGATATGACGTCGAAACTGAGGCGCAATCGTCCCAGTGGAGGCATCCTGGCTCGTCAAGACCGACAAGTGCAGTCAAACGTGCTCACTGTTTTTTGGATTTTAATGGCACCATAAACTCTTGCCAAGGAGTACTATCTACAAGTCCAACGCCGTTTGCGAGAGCAAAACGAAAAAAGAACGGTCGGATTTGTGGAAAAACAATTCATGGCTTTTACACCACTTCATTGCTTGTTCGTGAGTGTTTGGCCAAAATCAATACTGTAGCGATGCACCAGCCTCCATATTCACCAGATCTAGCTGCGTGTGTGTTTTTCTCATTTCCAAAAATAAAGAGCCGTCGTTTTACAAGCATATATTAAAAGCATTAAAAGCGCATCGCTAAAAGGGTTAAATGGTATCCCAAAGATCGAGTTTGAGAAGTTCGTCGAGGATTGAAAGGAGAGCTGACACAAGTGCACAATATCTAACGTGGACTATTTTGAAGGCGGCAACATTAATGTAAACTGAAAAATATGTTATTCAAAAAAGGAAAATTTACCTTGTTTTCTGAACACAGTTCGTGAGCAAGAATACTATATTTTAGCGTAAAAGTAACAGCTGAAAACTTCTAGATGAACATTTTTCAAATGTAATAGGGGGGCGCCCTGCCGTGTGATACCTCGTTTTAAAGGTCTTTCGTAGGTATAAAATCCATCTTGTTTCGTCGATAAAATGTACAAAAACCCTCAAGTTTGGCAGAAGTACTAATAAGAAGCCTCAAAATGGACAATAACATGGCCCCATTCCATTAGGAAAATGTCCCAGACAGCCAGCGTCCAGTCGACAACTTGATATGTTTATCACTTAAACACTAAAATACCATATAGTATTCATGCATCAGTTTTACCATCCAGAATTTCAGCTTAACCCCTTCAAAAAATGAAGTGTGGGTGCCTTTTTGAAATCACCGAATACGTCGCATTCTGCCCACCGTTTCTGAAACGATATATTATGTAATTCGTTGAGTATTTTAAATATATTCTATGTGTAGTATAGCTGTTCCTAGCCATAAGCTATTACGGTTGTGAACATTGTTATAGGCATGTTTTAAACGATGCAATCTACAGCCCGAAAAGCAGACAATATTTGGTGGGGGCGAGTTTCGCACCCACAATTCATGTAACCCATAAACGTGTGTTTCGTCCCTGTACAGGGTGTCCGAACCGTGCGAAGACAGAGTATTGCTCCTCAACAAAAACGGTTCAAAGAATACTATTTACATATATAATTATTATGCATGGTATCTGAGTGCACATTTTTAAAATGTTCACAAGTACTCAATGTTGACTCACATATCAGAGTTGATTTTTGAATGTTCAGTAACAGGGTGGTCAAAAACGCAAAACATACTCTTTTTAAAAAACTAAATGGCACTTCCTGTATATTTTCACATTTTTGACGAAGCTACACAGTCAGCTATTTATTTAAAAACTTAAACACTGTTATTAAGCGACCTCAGTTGTTTGCATTATATTACGCTTAGAAAGAATCACGGCTGAGGTATGGAGTGTGTTTCTGGGGATATTCTACAGATGCACAGAAGGTATTTTTGAGCCAGAAAAGAATAATACGGTGCAAAGCCGGAGTGTTCCTTAGTACTAGCGGTAGGGACATTTTTAGGAAATACCAAATTTTAACATTGCCATCACTTTTTATTTTTGAACTTTGTGGGTACACTTTTGTAAATAGAAAGCGTTTTGGGCTTAACATAACATACCCGGCAAAAAAACTAGTTCGATATTAACATAGTAGTAGATCGCCGAATGTTTTGGGTTCAAAAGTGTTTATCATGTTATCTGTAAGGGTCAAGTGCTGTGATAATTCGAGTCTTTTGGAGCAAAGATGAAGAGGTTTTTAATGAATGAAGGTGTTTGTCTCTTTATCTATTTATTCATTTTATGTAGGTATATACATGTTTGTATTTTATTTATATCCTATATTGCATTTTATGCATGTATTTTCTGACGATTCCCATACACAATTTTGTGTCGAAATGAAAATAAAGAACTTGAATGTAATAAGTACGAAATTTCATTTAAACCTTTGATATGTATGCAATGGGAACACCCTGTATGATTATTTTGAAAATGCGCCTCTGGATAGCATATATAATATACCATAGTTTTCTTTAAAATGTTTTTGTTTAGGAGCCATACTCCGCCCTCGTACGGTTGGAACACCCTGTATAAGTACAAAAATATCCGATGATCTAGTACCTCTACGTCACCGTTTCTCAACCTGTGGAGCGCGCCCCCCTGTATCAATATTAAACGGGGGGCGCGAGCATATCAGAAAAAAAATACTAACAACATTGAATAATTTACTAAAAGGAAAGAAAAACATCATAATTTTATGACATGGTCAAAAATAAAATACACATTAACACTGATGTAGTAGGTACACTTATAAACAGGACTGTATTTATCCATACTAAATTATAAGTAAGTTTAATAATATTAATTGTAATGAATAATAATAATTACTAGTGAGTCCTTGGGCCTGATTGCCGAGCAAAGCTTGTCAAAACAAGGCTTAATATTTGACATAGGCACTCTGAGTTCTTTTTCTTCTTCTTTTCTTGTTCACGCCTGCTCAAAATTCAAGCAGGGATTTATTATGAAACTGTTTTTTGATTTAGGCGTTTGGCGTCAAGTCTATGAAGATTTCTTCTTCGGCAGTTAAGAACCCTTCGGGAGTAATTTGAGACGAATTCCTAACCCACTCGTAATTAAGTATTAATTTATCGTCGGCAAGAAAATATTTTTTTTATATTCTTTGTCAGCATCGCTACATGCTTTTAAATGGTTATGAAAGCAACTTTCATGTGTTGTTCTTCAACCTTATAAGTTTTAATACATTCATCCACATTTGCAAACACTTTTAGGATTTTTTGCTTTAAATTTCTGCTCCACAATTCAAATTTTCTAAAAAAATCATTAGCTTTATCACTCGTATCCAATGCATTTGCTTCTTGCAGCTGAAGGTTCAAGATATTTAGTTTCTCGAATATGTCGACCAAGTAGCTCAATTTCATCAGAAATAAACCATCTCGAAACATCTCGGCTTCCGGCCGGTTTTCTTCTTCTAGAAAAACGGCGACTTAATGTATTAATTCAAATGCACGTTGTAAACATTTCCCACGTGATAAACATCTTGTCACGCCATAGAATAGTAATGCTGAATGTACCGCACCCATATCTTTACAAAGTACAGAAGAGATTCTAATTTTTTATGTAATTAATTACTGTTACAACAGTAGTTAGCATAATATTCAGGTCAGGAGACATTTCTTTGGAAGCAACAGCTTCTCTGTGAATCATGCAATGTGTCCAGATGCACAGTGCAGATTTTTCTTTCACAAGGGCTTGTATATTTTCAAATCTTCCGGACATTGAACGAGCCCCATCGGTGCATATTCCGCCGCAATCCTTCCACTCTATGTTTGTCTCGATTATATAATCATTTAAGATAACAAATAATGTGCTTTAGATTTGCAGAAAAGAAGTTCTTCTACTTCCGATATGCACCATGAACGTAGGCAGTAAGATGAGCATCTTTATTGTTGTCCGTTGTCTCATCAAGCTCAATTGAAAACAACTTGTCTCGCAACTTCCCAAATAGCTGATGCTGTACGTCTTCAGCTATGTCACCAATTCGACGGGCAACCGAATCATTTCATAGAGGTATCGACTCCAAGTTTTTGGCAAAATTATCTCCAAACTTTAATTGCAGCTGGCAAAATAAGCTCTTCACCAATACTGTAAGGCTTCTTACATCTGGCTATTTCATATGAAACTTTGTAAGAGGCAAGTCAAGCTTTTTCATTCGCTGTCAAAGTTTTTTTAAATGTTTTTTGCTTTTCGTATGATTTTAATTTTAACTCGAAGAATTTGCGGGGTTTGTTAACGTACTCACTATTAAGCGTTTCCAAATGTCGTTTAGGTTTTTTAGGTTTCATGCTATATGCTGTTAAAGTTTCTTCATTGACGTCAGTACATGTAAACCCAAAATTTAAGTATTCTTGAGAATATGTTTTTGATTTTATTTTTGGAACCTCTCTCGCCTGTGCACCTGTTGATGCTTCACTAGAATCGAATGGTCGCTTACGACCACTTAAAAAATTATCCAAGAAAGGTTGAGAAACGCTTACCTTCGTCAATAGCTGTTAGGCCGATCCAAGTCCTCAGTGACTACTGTACCTGCTGTAATTCCAAGGTACTAGTGTTCGGAGACTCTAAGAAACTCCAAATCCAACAGTTCATATATTTTCTTTTATATGGTCATTTCTTTTACAATATGTCGTGTTAACCGATTAAAAATATCGTTATACTTTTCTCACTTTAGCTGGAAATAGTCGACGATACATGTTGTTTCGAAGGTGGATAATAATATTTCATATGTGTAATTTACTCTATAATATTATAAAACTTAATTACAATAAAGCCATTTCCACTGTAAAAAATGTATTTATTAATAAAAAAATTACACAAAAAAATTACATTAATTTCCAGATATCTTCAGAGGTAAAAGTCGAGTGGAATGCTAACAAAATAAATGCAGTATAGTAAAAATAATTGAAAATTACACTTTTTTCTAACTGAAAATATATTTTATTAGAAGAGACGAATTAAGTACGACTACAAAATATCACAAAACTGTTGAAGGAGTATCATTTTCGGCATATTACGTATTGTGTAAAATTGACTAGCTTAATTTTAATAAATACGACTTAAACACTGTACAGTCCAATATATACACCCAATTACAAGTATAATAAAATATGTTTTCGAGCTAGAAAAACGTTTATACAAACATAATCAGACGTAAAAAACAGTCTAAGCATATGACTACTAACATTCTGCACTACAAAGATTTCCAATATATGATCAAAAAAATTGAACACTTTAGCTGCACATGAGAAAAATATTGTATCATTTCTTTTCTTTTAGCTGAAGGTATACAACAATCTTGAATATTTTTGGACAATAGTGGAACCCAACTTTCAGCAGGGACGGTCCCAGAGCAGGGCAACCCGGGTGACTGTCGGGCGCGAAATATTATGCTCAACAAAAATTATTCCAATAAGCAATTTACTTTAATGCTCTTTTGATATAGACACAAAGTTTGGCAATAATTTAATCAAAATGGGCGGCATTAATCAATATAAAATATTATAATACCTAAATCTTGAATATTAGAAACAAGTAATAAACTAGTAATATTGAACATGACAAAACCGTTTAAAAAAATAAACCCACGGCTACTATTTATTTAAAATATTTCGAATCAGTTAAGTAACTATTAAAATGAATTGCTTAAAAAGGAAGAGCGACATTACTAACAAAAAATTACGCCAAAATCAGCTAGGTTACAAACTTAAGCTGAATCAAATACGTTTTTCAATAATTCAATTAATAATTCAAAAGCATTATTATTAATTTATATTATGGCATTGATTAACGTATTCTGCCTGAAGAGCCAACCTAATGCTACTTTCGAGTTTCCAAAAAGTTTTGAGATAAAATGAGATACCGTGGCGTCATCTATGAGAATATCACTGCTGTTTCTTTATTTACCATATAGGCCTTGAAAGGTTTAGATATGCTCACATAGACACTAACCTCTTCAAGGTATACATAGACAGATAGATAAATATGAAGAATACAATCATTCTTGATGACACAGCTAACTTTAAACTAAACTATGATATAATTACATTCTCGAATATGTGGATTTTAAGTAAATGAATTGTAGAGCTCACACATGATTTACAAATAAGTTTTCAAGTTCATGGCAAAATATCTTTAAATTGTTTATTCCTTTGATATCTTCCAGGAGACACATGTAAATTTTCAGGTCATTATAAATGATTGCCTTTCACAAGTGTTGATTTAGGTACTACTAATTTAAGATCTTGTTTTCGTCTAATACCGTAACTTATATTTGATGTCAGAAATTTAGATTTATTTAAAAAAATAAGAGTTGCTGTTTCTAAAATAAATGATACGCCAGCAGTTATTTTAAGACTTCGAAATAATGGCATGCATGCAGCTCTAGTTTAGTCTCTAGCCTTTAGTTATACATACATCAAAAAGTTCGTTTTTGTACATTAAGCACTTTTTTAACAATTTTGGGAAGAGACACACCAAAAAGGAATACTATATCTCAGTCTACTTTCAAGTAAAACAAATTAACCGCCTAATGCTGTGTTTTTTCCTCGGTTGTAACTAACTGTTCTTATAATAAAGAAAATCTTTGCTACTTGAGTAAGAAATTAGTCTAGTTGATTAGTAAAATTTAATTCATGATCAATGATCAGTGCTAAAAATTCAATGGTGTCTGTTTTGTGTATCAAATCATTATTTAAATTTATAAAATTAAGGGAGCATTTAAGTGTAATATTTTTTGATTGATTGTATGTGACTGTCAAATTTTTGACCTAATTTCATCTACATTTATGTTTGATCATTAATATAAACTAAATATTGGATGAGATCTAGTACCTTGAGGTAATCCTGCTTTTAGATTTAATTTATTTGAAGTATAAAATCTTGGTGTTGATACAATTTAGTATCGATTAGTTAAGTATGTTTTAAGACAATTGGGTGAAGTTGCAGAACAACCATATTTGTTTAATTTTTTTCAATAGTACATCATGATTTACACAATCAAAGGTTTTGTACTAGTCACAAAAAAACGAGTGAAATCTGTTTATCGTTTAAATTTGAGTATAACTGTTGGAGTAATGTGAAAATAGCATCCATATTTTTGTGATTTGAAGGCCAAATTGACGAACATCACCTTAGCCATGACCTTGACTATTGCGTTTAAGGCCATTTCGATAGCGCAGTATGAAGTTTGTGCGGATCACCCAAAGGTGTCCTTGATCATGACCTTCAAGGTCAAATCAAAATTCACTATGAAAACATTTCAGTTTTATAATAGAAGTGGTAAAGGCAGGGAAATTTACGTATGAATGTTACCTTGACATCAAAGTCAAAGCCATTGAGCTTAAATATTATTTGCGATCAAGGTCACATTCGGACGTAAAATGTCCTGCTTTTACCATTTCCAGTTTAAAAATGAGAAGTTTCCTTAGGAACTTTTGATTTGCCATTGAATATGATCAATCCCGATGTGGAGATATTCACTTGGCATTGAAAGGACTAAAAAGGTCGTAGTCAAGGTCATTGTCAAGGTCACCAGCATTTTGCCCTTCGAAACCCTATTTCGAAATATTTAGGTGAGGAGATTGAAATAGAAAACGGTGTATAGTAAATAAAGAACAGCTGTGTCAAATTCTCTTAGATGGCGCTACAGTATCGCATTTTACCTCGCATATTTTTTGGCGCGCGAAGTTAGAAAAAGGTTGGCTATCTCTAGGTAGAATAATCAAGCAGCTTACTTGAATACAAGCGTGCCTCTTATAAATGTGATATTCGAAAATTCTTTGAGCAATGTAATTTCCAAATCAAACTTTTAGTAAAAAATAGTGGAAATGTGTATGAAGTACTTTGCTTTAAGTACCCACCTAAATAATGACTACTACTACTCATTGTTATCTGGTGAAATGAAACAATAAAACTGGCTCTAGTAGAAGCCCCCTTTGAGGCCTGCTTCAACAACTGTTTCAAACAAACTTTAGCACTATATTGATGGAACATGTCTTTAGCATATCCTGTATGAATGATGACATTAATAATTATATCATTAAGCCGTTTAATGTCTAATTCTACCCATCCCGAGTATTTTCGTGAGTATACAAGTGACCAATACATAAATTATTTTATCGACTTTGGATTGATATACTCAACAAATCATGATATTAAGATAATATATCAACCAAGCTTTAACTCAAACGCATGTTAAATTTTAAAAGAACCTACTTGACATTATCATCACTTCACTTATAAAGTATGATTTTTGCATGTTTTCGCAATGAATTAGTTTTAGTTGATGTACCTGTCAATACGTATTTATATTCAAATAATGTTTTGTACGGCATATGTATAAGAAGCTAGCCACTAGGTTGAGATATCTCTCATTGCACCACGATTATTTGAGTATCAGCTTCCAAGTGATTATACCCGCTCAATCAGTCTCAGTTTCGTTGGATTTGTAGATCCAGTTGTTTTTGAATCACATTAATATTCTACTTCTAGCTGCTGTCTGTTTAGTTTGTCATCCTTGCGCTTTTAGTCTTCGGGTACTTTCCAGTTCAGCATTTTGCCAGTTTCATAAAGATCCGCTAGTGCTTCACCGACCTTATTTTCTTTCTCCAACTCTTTGTACTTTTTGTAAAGCTGCAGAGCAGTACGCGCATCTTCTATGGAATCATGCGTTTCTGACTGGATTTTTAAACCTATATGCAAAAAAGAAATAGTAAAAAACGTGCCTATAGCTGAAATACCTCGTTCCTGGACGTACTTAAATGTCTCAATAAGAAATTTCGACTAATTCACGGTGAGCTTGTATGTACCCCCTCCCGACATCAATGAATGACAATTTGCTTGGCTTCATCAGTGATTCTAAGAGCCAATAACTAATAGCTAATATCTTTACAACTTAGAATGGAGAAATATTTCCGACCCTCGCCTGTCGATCACATGCTTCGCGGTCCTGCCGACGTATGTGTGCAGCAGTCTGCCTCCGCTGCTCAACTGGAAATCCACCGTCGAACGTCATCCACGGCAGATGTACACATAGTTTTGATCATGTACACCCGCAGGAATTTTTCTCAGTGGAAGTGGGAGGGACATTCATCGGCTAGAGATAACTTTGTGTGGAAGTGCATGCAAATTTTAAATGCATGGTTTGACTTTGAACTTGATCCATTTAATTTTTTGTTATACATGCTCGTAGTTAATTTTTCTGTCAACTAACTTGTGCCCAACATATTCCTTTATGAACTGATGGCAGCGTTATGTAGAAGATGCAGTGTTAACCTACTTGTCGCTTTTTTTTTCGTTCCTTCATGACCCATGAGCAGTCATTTTCAAATTGAAACTGCAAAACATGTTTTACTTGGCAGAACAGCACGAAAACTAAAAGATTCCCATTGCTAATCAAAAAGTTAATAAGATTGCAAATATCTTACCACAAATCTTTCCCGAATTTTTTCCCGTAACAAAGAAATTAGCATACTATTCTATCAAGAAAAATATCAACCAACTTTATCAAGCAACTGATAATCATTCGTTAACTGTGGTGATATATATGAAGGATAGTCACATTTTGCTTCAAAAATATCGTGCACCTACTGGCGAGGAAGTACAGCACTAAAAAACATGTTACTCATTTAGGTTAGTCTGTCTGTCTGTATGTGACATCGACGTTCAGGGTATAATATTACTTACCTAAGAAGTGCCATGCCAAAAATCTAAGAGATACCATCCTATGATGAGGAAGATGAAATAGTTGCACAGTATCCACAATTTGCTCTGGAGGCACTACCAAATTGATTACCCTGCAAAAACAACCATGGATACTTAAAATTACCTGTATCTTCTAATCTGAATGTCTGAATTGCCTACCTAAAATCGTTTTTCAGGCCGTGGCCAACAAAAATGACTCCGCTATCCTGAAGATACCGTAACTTTGTGTATGTCGACTTTAGCGTTGTTAAATGCTTGGAACTGAAGTTGGCATCCAAATCGCCAGGTTTTATACCTGAGAACTTAGTCAGATAGTCCACGACTTGTTCTTGAGTAGAGATATAGTCGTCTATAAATGGGGTCCCCTCCATCTGACCAGTGCTGGAAGAATGCAACAACCAGTAGTTTTAAAAAGTGTGATTCAAACAGCAATCACAATACTATTAGAGTAGCAGATATATCGAAAAATAACACAAAAAGTTACTATGAGCGTGGATCCTAAACTGTCTCATTGCGAAGATACAGGGTATCTACACCTCAACATACATTATACATTTGAAAACGGATTTAGCGAAAACCACTGATTAAAAGAAAAACGCCGAGACACATCAAAAGACTTGTTAAGGGGGACAACTTTTTAACCAAAAACTACTACTTCACCCCCTTTCACCCTCTGCCCACCAGGGTCATCCCCTTAAAAATTTTAAATGACAAGGGGTATGTAAAAGCTTGTTTGAACGGTCTTTCAGATTCCTTTACTTTAACGTTTGATTTTTTAAAATCGGTTGATTCGGTTTCAAGAAAATTAGAAAAATCTTTATGTATCTTAATTTGTTCAGATAGAGAACAAAAACGCACGAAAGTCTCACTTTTTATTTCAATAAGTGTTCAAAATGTTGTCCGTTAGGGTTTGCCAAATCTACAATTCGCTTATAATTTATAACGGAAACTACCAACATGAACAGCAATTCGGAAGATTAGACGTGGCAACACAGATATCCTGGGAGAACTGTATTTATTGTTATACCTGTTTAGTTATTTGTGTAACGGTTTACACACTAGTCGAACGAGTGGAAATGATTCTAATTTATGGTGCCCAAAATCAATGTGATCGGCAAACTGCCATCACGTTCAACGCCAGACATCCGGGGAAGATAACTTCGCATAGTTATATTTTAGACCTTGTTACTAAATTTACTCAAACTGGATCTATTGCAAATAAAAAACGTGATCATCGGAGAGTCTTGGATGAAGCCGCTCAAGCTGAAGTTTTGGGTCATTTTAGAATAAATCCTAATACTTCATTACGCAAAATTGTTGCTGCGACTGGTACTACATTAGGCTCTGTACACACAGTTACCAAACTCCATAAATTTCATCCATTCAAAATAAAAATATTGCAAGTGTTAACCGAAGATGATTTCGATAAGCGAGTTGAGTTTTGTGAACAAATGACTGCAGCGATTAATAATACCATTCATGTAAAGAATATCTGCTTCAGTGATGGATGCACATTTTATCTAAATGGATTTGTTAATAAGCATAACTGCAGGTATTGGAGCAATGAAAATCCTCATGCTTTTGTAGAAGGGCATACCCAGTACCCCCAAAAAAATAATGTATGGGCAGGCATTTTAGGGAACAAAATGATTGGGCCATTGTTTATTAATGGAAATGTGAGATTTATTTGGATATGTTTGAAAATACCATCAATCCGCTATCACTGAAACTATTGAAAACCAAATCGAAGAGGATGGAAACCCTATATTTGATGAGGCTGAAATATGTATATTTCCAGCAAGACGGCGCTCCATCTCACTATGTTCTTCCGGTTCTGCAATGGCTAGACGACGAGTTTCCAGATAAATGGATAGAGTGAAGAGGGTCTATAGAATGCTGCTACATCTCCTGATTTGATGCCATTAGACTTTTTTCTATGAAGCCATTTGAAATCTATTGTGCTTACTCCCCAACCTGAAAGTTTGGATGAACTTCGTCAACGCATCATCGAAAGCTGTCATGATATCCCACATGTTTTTGAAAATATCCGTCAGGAATTTGAACTTCGCCTATATCATTGTTTGGCCAATAACAAGCAACATTTTGAACACTTATTGAAATAAAAAGTGATATTTTCGTGTTTTTGTTTTTTATCTGAACAAATTAAGATAAATAAGGAGTTTTCTTATTTTCTTTAAAACGATTCGACCAATTTTAAAAAATCAACCGCCAAAATAAAGGACTTCGAAAGACCTTTCAAACAAACTATTACTCCACACCCCTGGAGGGCAGAGGGTGAAGTAGTTTTTGATTAAAAAGTTGTCCCCCTTGACAAATCGTTTGACGTGTCCCGGCGTTTTTTTTTTTAATCAGCGGTTATCGATAGGAAGTATTCAAATGAACAGTTTGCATGCCAAACCTCACTTATATCAGCATATTGTCAAAGTAGAATGTTAAGGCCAATGTTACCCGCACCCGTATCACGTAACATAAAAAGTGACATTATACCGATTTTTTATGACATTATGTAGGTTTTCCGATAAAATGTGACATTTGAACTAGCTGACAACCACTTCATGCTCACTTGTGATAGGCGCGGAATGAATTAGCGGCACACCGGCTACCTTGTGCGCAAGTTGACATTTTACCTATTTTTTGACATTATATAGTTTTTTTACGAAATAACCCTATCGTTTACTATTTGCTGTCATCCACACAATGAGTATATAGGGTTAATCTGTCAATGTGAGTCAGTTTCATTCCAACCTTATGCATCCATACATATTGATATCTGTCCATGTCAATGCACTATGCTATATGTCGAATAAATCCCAAACATGCAAACCGTAGGTCTCCAACAAGGTCTGTTCTTACAACTTCTGGAGTGATAAGATTTACAGATGCTGAATTATAGTACATTACATACCTTGGTGGGGAGGTATGCCATATTATTGGCCGAGCACTTTTACATCCTGAAGCGCGTAAATAAATAAACAAAATAGATGCTATATTGACTTGACGTAAACAATAATAATATCCTAATATAGATTTCAAATACAGATAGAGGATTCAACAGCACTAACATATTGGTGTCCAGCAAGCCAAAGAAGCTGTTATTTACCTAGGGGGAGAAATGTAACTACTTCTTAAAGGAACGCGGTAAATATGGCGATTTATCCGCTTAATAGTAAGAAAATATTGCTGCTTACATAAAGTCTGTGGTTTAGAAAAGTTCTTTTTCTCTACTCGTCAAATATCCGAGATAGACTAATCACGAAAATTCTTGAAGTGCTAATGCAATTCGTACAACATCTGTAAATACTTTTATTTGTTTCACAGATATATTTTGTCTTTTTTTTTTCTCGTAAATACATCTTCACATCCCGTAACTCAGTAAGAGGCACATCAAGTCACGTTGGGAACTACTCAGGTTATTCCAATAGCAACGTTACCACGTAGCCGCTAGATGAACGACGTGTCTGACTGGCCAAGCCTAGGCCATGCTGATGAGTAGCGAAGAAGCACGAAATAGTTGTCCATGTTTGATTGTCTTCATGGTTGGACGGACGAAAGCATCACGTTTGGTTTGTTCAATGACAAGTAGACCACATCCACTTTACAGCCAGAATCGTCAGGAATCTAGCGGCCACGTGGTGACTTTCCTATTAAATGCGAGCTGATCAGTTTCAACTAAGGCCCGTATCGTCAGTCGTCCCTACAATTGTAGGGCGCCTTTATGGCCTCCTTGATTGTCATAGTTTTCTACTTCTCCGTGTCAGCGCTCTATTTTGAGGTTATGTCACAAACATCTATTTGCATCAAATTGTGCTTGCTTTTGAGTTATATCATGTTTTATCAGCCTGAAATTTCCTACAATTTAAAAGGAAAACATATCTTCACAATAGGGGAGCGCTGACGCTGACACGGGACAAGTGTAATCTAGAAATTTTGAAGGAGAGAAAGCAGTATGACAATCAAGGAGGCCATAAACTACAATTGTAGGAACGACTGACGATACGGGCCTAACAGCAGCTATGCGCTTTCCGCAATGGTCGATTCTGGTGTGATAGATGTTTTCAACAAGGTTTATATAATGTACTCACCCCCTGATACAAGTAATTCTTGCCACTGACATTTGGGAGGGCTTCACGGTAGAAAATTTACCGTCACTTCTCACCTCCGCCTCTTCTTGGTTGAGCGTAACAAATTCCGCATCCATAGCCACCAAATCACCACATTTCAGCACTTCATTGTCATTCAGTGGTGTGAAGGTAATACCACTTGTGCCACCACTTCGAGCTATACAAGCGTCTTCATTAAAAACATCCTGAAGCAAGACATTTTGCAACAAATGTAGAGAAAAATTGAATAATCGTTGCCAAATGCTAGTGGGTTCCGAAATTGCTTTCATTTTGAAAACTTTAAAATATTATTTGAGAATTCAAACAAAGGCAATTGTTTCACTTCTACGAACTTTAATGTCTAAAACCCCATTACAATGCCGCACCAGACATTTCTAGAAAATCTGTGTTGAAACGGGTGGATTTTTACAGAACAGGGATTTTCTAACGACCAAATACCCATTATGAGAATTAAAGATTCCACTCCTCGTAAAAAGCGATTCATCTGACCACAAAACCAAATCAATAAAATCTGCATTTTGATTATGCATTTGCAGTAACCACTAACAAAAATTTCGCCGTTGCACTTCGTCGCCGGGTTGCAGACATTGCATATTTTGCCGATGGTAAGGATGTAAAACTTCCCGATATAAAATTCTCCACGCAACACTTTGGGAACATGGTAACTGGGCTGCAATCCGCCTAGTGCTCTAGCTCCGGGAAGTTTGGCAATTCCATATTGTCGAAGTCATAGAAATGAACGCGTAAAAACCTTTGGGGTAGGTTGGCATCTGTTAGGAAATCTACTTTGATACTCCCGAGAAGCCGATCAAGCATTTCCAACCCGTACACAAAAATAATCTCGGCGTACTCATCATTGCTAAATTCCATTTCACAACACTCAAAAATGGAAAAAGAAACCTGTGACTTGACTTTTACAAAAAAAAAGAAAAAATGGTAGTAGTAAAGATAACAAACGTATAACACATAACTTTGACAAACTATCTCCCAAGAAATGTCAAGTTGGTATAAAGGCCTTCTATTTTATTTTGAAACTTATTATATCTCGGCTCTTCATAAATCATGTAATTTGTTTTATTTTTATTTTTACGAAAACAGTGCACTCTAGGAAAAAATACGTGTGTATTTGTAGCAAATTGAAGGTAAAATTCGAACAATAATTGCAAGTTTCGAAAAAAAACTGGCGTATTATTTTTATTTGGAAAAATAATGCCACTAATCCCCTGTATCTCTGCCACTGGCTCATGTTAATTTCAAGCAAAAACTTTTGAATGTGGACAATACTTAGGAAAATCCACATATCAAATTTTACTTCATTCCAGTTGCCGATCTTGAAGATCTTAAAAAACTTGTTTTTTATTTTTAATGAAGCTCTCGAAGAAAAAATGTTACACAGACGACCCTCCCTTAAAATGCGGTCCTGTGTGCGATGTTTAATTTTTGGCACGACTTGTGAATAACCCTGAATCTATTTGACAGTACACCTCATGATACAAATATATATTTTAAATGAACATTCTGTATCTAACGGGCTAAATAAAATACATAATTACGTAGGTATTATGAGCAATCATTAATGTAAACTGACTACTGTCGTTTCTTTTTAAAACAGAAATCAATCATAATTGAGACACAAAACACAAGATTAAAATGAAAAGAGCTGACTAACAATATTATTTTAATATTTGAAATAACATAGAGGCACAATGAATATGTATGAGTGAGACAAATGGGTGTGTGAAAGTTGTTCCTGCACTATACTTTGGCCCTCCAAAAACTGTAATAAGAACTATACATATGTACGCTAAATCAAACGACTACCACCATGTTTTAATTTAGCGACCCGGCAAGGAGTCACATCAACATAAATACCACATAATAAGTTTCAGGTGTTACATTAAGAAATATATTTTTCCTCACCCTGGACATTGGTCTGTGAACGTCGGCATCTCCATCCATAACCCCTTCAGCAGAATAGTACAGCACGCAAGGTACCTTCCAATCCAGACTGAACCACACAGCTTCCTGAGCGGGTACTTCTCGTATGCAGAAATCATTGAACAAGTACCATCTGCCGCCGCTGGCGTCTGCAGGGGGCACCACTTTCTCCTTCATATACATCTCGGGAACTTTGATTATGGACACCAAGTTGCGCTTATCCGGAGAAGTTTGGTCATTGATATAACAGACTACGGCACTGAGAGAATAACGGCGGGTGTTCGAATCGAAGTTTTCCTTTGCCTGGACAATTAAGACGGAAACTCATTATTGTCACGTCGCATTAGAGCATGTGCTACATGTAGAAGTTTTTGTATATGCGTATCCTTTAGTTCGCCAGTTGAACCGCCAGTGAAACCAATTAGTCAATTTTGCATCCTCTAATTCCCGGTGGAACGATGGTATCCACCATCAATATAAAGACAAGTTTGGAGTGCAACCGGTCGTTCAAGCGGGAATTAGAGAACGCAAAATTGGCTTACTGGTTGGATCAGTGAAGTAAAGGATACGCCTTATTTACGATGGTCCATGACACAAAATCCTAGGTGATCTGTTGTTTCCTACTCCCAGGTTCAGTGGGTGCACGGGCGCGAAAGAAATCAAGCGGTTGGCGTGTTGCGGTTTCCAGGTGTAGACTGGTGGGTCAATATGGTCCTCTCAAAAAGAAGGTTCCATCGCTCTTCTGCTAGAAGTAATTTTTGGGGAAATGATAGAGATGGGCCTGCCAATGCCAAAGCACTCCCGATTGAGTAGCTTACAACCCCCCCCCCCCCCCCCCCCCAACCGTTTTATTTTTCACGTTGTCCACCGCATTTCAACTCCCCCTAGATGGAGAATCGTTCCCATAAGTTAGAAGGACAAAGAACAACCGTAAATGATACATAATTTTTCTTGCATACTGCAATGGGTTGACATAAGGTTGACGCCCAGTTCTTCTTGACTTACCTGAATTCCTGGCCGTCAAGATCGACTTCCTTAATATCAATCACCTCGCTTCAGAGGTAGTTCTCCTCGGTGATTTCAATGCCAATAATGATCTTTGGTTGGGATCAAACAAGACCGATGCAGCAGGTCGTGCAGTTGAAGCATTCGCTCTTACTCAGGGGCTGACCCAGCTGGTGACGAGCCCTACTTTTTTCCCCCGCGTTTCGTCACATGCCAGTAGCCTGCTGGATCTCTTTCTGCCCACGCATCCTGTCCCTTTAAGTACTGCTGTCCGGTCCCCCCTGGGCAACTCAGACCACGGTGTTGTGGAGGTTAGGTTTCGGTCACAACCCGCTGTGGCAGCAGGAACTCGTACAGGCCGCAAAACCTGGCATTACGGACATGCCGACTGGGAGGGGCTCAGAGACTTCTTCTCTAACTTTCCTTGGAGAAATGTCTGTTTCACTGACGCGGATGCGTCGGCTGTCTGTTCTTCGATAACCGAAATTATCCTCGTCGGGATGGAGGATTAAATCATATATTGAAAGTGCCTAAACCAGGATCCAACGGCTGGTTCAACAAATCGTGTGACAGTGCTCGCCAGCAGAAGATCAAGGCACACATAACCTTCTTACAAAACCCCACTGTAGAGAACATACAAACCGACATCGAGTCCAGAAACAAATATAACGAAGCGGTTCACAATGGCAAAGACCAGCTCGATATATAGTACAAGTTAGGCTCAGGTTAATGTCGCAGCGCAATGGCAGTCTGTCTTTTTAGACGCTGGCTAAGCAGTCTTGGCTCCGACACTGTTCCTCTTACATATCAACGACCTCCTTTAGTGTTCGATCAACCCAATCCACAGCTTTGTTGATGACAGCACTCTACCTGCAGGAATTCAGAGTGACAAACCGATCTCTGCCGCTGAGCTGGAACTGATCGACGACTCTTCTGTGACAGACCCTTTCGCACCGGCGGGCCGTCGTCGATCTAGCTGTCTTCTACCGCTACACCAACGGGCTTTGCTCCTCAGACCTCTCTTCCATGATGCCGCCGCGCGATGTGCCTGCCAGACAGACCCGCCTGACTTTGGCCTCCAATCCTAGCCGTGTCGAACTTCGTACATCCAGAACTAGCCGATACGACCGCTCCTTTGTCCCGAGGATGTGGAGATTGTGGAACAATCTACAAGAGGAATCTTTTCCCAGTTCTACTAAGCTTAGGCAGTTGAAAAATCGGATTAACAAAATAGCAGCCAAGGTGTTCCGGCATTTAGGCTTCTGCCTTCGCGGCTGCTTCTGTATAAAAAAAAACAATCCCTAAAGTATCTGTTAGAAGAAAGGCTTTCCACTCCAAGGAAACCCTCCGCCAACCCAACGCAGTATCCAAGACAAACTGATTAACTATCGTTTACGCTTTTTTCTCCCTAACATGTGGGGACGATTTTCCATCTGGGCACCGTGGCTGTTATGAGCAGCATAAGTAAATAAATACCTGTTTATCCTCCGTCGTCACTTTTTTGATATCAAGCTTATCATCTTTCAAACTGAGTTCAAACATATGCGGTAACCAATTATTGCTGCAGTACGGATTGTTTGAGACGAGCTGGGAAGCATTATCAAAGCTGTGCCTGAACCTGTAATAAATAAATACCGTTGTTTTTATAGAACAAATAGGTTCGTCTATGTCAATTAGTAAAAGATCGCCCATCATCGTATTAAGTAAAATATTCGTGTTTATCAGAATGGAGGCGCATTAAGACAGGGGGGCATTTATTATACAGATTGTGTCAAAAAAGAAAAACAAAAACCAAAAAGCGTGATAAAATATAACATAAAACTGTAATAAAAAAAACATTTGACTATAAAAACCAATACAATATTACAAATAACTGTCAAACAACAGAATATTTATCACGCAGGCATATTAAAAAAATATCTCAGGAAACTAAAAAATAAAAAGGATATGACTAAAGGCCATTTCTGTTTTTGAGTTACTTAAACTTAGTCACTGTCTGTATCAGATTCTTGTTGCATTTCTGTTCTCTCTATACTATATAAATTATTTTTGTATTTTTTAAAATGTTTTTCACCAAACTCGAAGTCTAAGCAGCAACATTTTTTGTATTGTATCCAGTTTGATAATTATCGCGAAGAAAAGATAAAATACGATTCCTTTTCTTTGCTTTGATTATCTCCATATATCAGAATGTCCACTAGACATCTGCATTACCATGTGGCAAAAGTTAAGATTATTAGACATACTTTGGAAATACACTTCACAGGTTGTGTTCTTACCACCTACTACCATCTATACGCGTCTCCGTTGAATAAGAAGTACCGACCGGTGGTTAGCACTGTCGATTGGAGAGATATCTGTATTTAGATTTGGTTACTAACTGCAATCAATTTTTTTTCTGGTAAAAATATCCATCATGTGTACCTAAATTGCAAAATTCCGCTACTTTTAACAAAAAATCCAATTCCGCCGCTACGCCGCTACCACTAACGCAATTCCGCTACTTCTGGCAACACTGCATTTCAGTAACCTTATTAAGTTGCGATATGTTATGATTGTAAGCGCGACACTTGAATTGAATGCACTGTAAACAATTATTAGTTAAACAAGATTTGTCCGTCCGACCAAAAACACAGCCAACCATAGACAGCGCTGTTTCGTGCTTCTTAGCATCTTCTAGGCTTTATCTCTGGACAACCGGACGAAAGCATCGCAACTACCCTATATAACTGGAGGTACGGTCTATCGAAATAAGACAGCACAAAGCGCCATCTATTACACCAGAATCGACCACTACGAAAACCGCGTGCTGCTATTAGTTGGAATTGTTAGGGATCTCAGTTCACGATTAACAACTCAGTCACCAAGTGACCGCCAGATGGCTGACGATTCTGGCTGTTAAGTAGATGTGGTATACCTGCCATTGAATATACTAAAGAAAAAAATTATTAGTATTCGATAGTTCGTGATGTGTGCAAAAAGACATTTGCGGATTTCCAAAACGGCATAAGTTTGGCATGTACACAAGAACCGTCACTGCGACAAGAGGGTTAAAATTCGTATCGTAAATTGACGTAACAATGAGGAGGTTTCCTATTCTTTGAAACACACTTAAAATTGTAGTCTATAGTGAGGTACAGCACTGAAACATTTTTTGGTTGTCTTGGAAAATAAAAAATGACGCTACCCAGAAGTTTCTTATTTGGAGAACCATCTTGTTGGAATGCGACACTGACTGATGACGTCACATGACATCAGCTACCATCGCTACCACAAAGGCGATGCGCCCGCCGCGCACGCTTCGTGTCATTTACAAAAGTTCTTAAGCTTCGTACGAGTATTTACGATTTGCAGTAAAAATGGGTCAGACCATCGACTTACAAATACCATATTGTACCTAGGTGTACAAATACAGTTGATGTTAGTAGGTGTTAAGTTATGGTAAAAAGGATCAAAATAAATATTAATATATGTGCCTATTATGCTATTATGATGGACAAATAACCTAATTGGTGTAAACGAGAACATAGATTTGACTATTGCTTTTATTTCGAGATAATATGAATATTATTATAGGGATCATGTTGTGGCTGGAGGGAGAATACTCCTTGAACCATGTCTGTGTCGACGTGGAGATACATAGACGTGGTTCAGGAAACCTGTATAATTTGTAAAATCGGATGGTGCCGCGTTTTAAAATAATCAGCTATAATGAGATGCGGCAAAATGTAATCAGTGATTTCAAAGTGTTTAAAAAACCCATTAGAGTTCGCTCTATTTCCAATAGTAGCTTGTTTGTCAGACACCCAGTAAAGAAATGTGTCAATTTTGGCTGCAGCTGACTGCAAGTTTGGCAATTATGCGACATTATACAATAATACACAAATTATACCTTGAAAGTATATGAAACTGTAAATTGAGTGCAATCGATACATCTTTTTGCAAGCGTAGCCGTCATATTGGATCCGCCATTTAGATTTTTTAGAAATGATATTTAATTAGTTATTAGCGATCTTAAATATAATTGAAACCTAATTTTGAGAGCGATCAGAACATGTTTTGCAAAGATGTACACTCATATTAAATCCTCCATTTTGATCTTGGGTATGGGTATCATCTTCATTATCAGCGACCTGGGAAACGCTTAAATCCATTCTTTTTTGTAAAATTTAGTGAATCTTTCCAATTTTGGCCATATTTTAGGACTTTTGAACCACTCTAGCGTCAATGGCGTGTGGTGCATAAATGTTTCGCATATTATATTCAACCATTAACCATTATTATTTCCACCTTTGTAAGATTAGTACAATCGGTTATCGCTAAATGAAAATCACTTCAAGAACCTATAAATATTAGCACTTCCATCGATTTATATTTTTGAAGTCCTATGTTATGTGCACAGAAATCTAAACAAACATCAAACCTCTGCAGAAATACATTCCCGTGCACTACATAATGGAATCCATACTGGAGACTGAATGTGATTAAAAATAATAGAATACTCGTATAATGCAAATAGCAGATAGAGGAGGCCTTACACCTTCATGCACCAGCAATTCATTAGGTTATGCATGACCATTCACACGTAAGGAAACTTTGTTCTTTCTGACTACTACTCTGACAGTCACAGCTAAGTGGTACACGGAACTGTGCCTGTCTGAAGTCATAGAGTCTTTGAAAAACCTGTGGTCAAAGTCAAGAATGGACACTTGGAACCTTCACCATGACCGCTCCAGCTCACCACGCCAAAGCTTCAACCGAGTATTTGACCACTACTGGACCGAAACTTATTGACCACCCTCCTTACAGTCCAGATCTTGCTCCCTGCGACTTGTACTGTTTCCGCATGTGAAAATGAAGCTAAAATGAAAACGGTTTTCTAGAGATGAGGACCTTCTGAGGGCTTGGGAGAACGAGCGTGCCGCACTCCCGGGTGAAACTTGGCAGAGCTAATTTAAGGACTGGTTTTGGCGGATTGAATCTGGTGGAAATTACTTTGAACGAAGTCAATAAATAAATCTGTATTGCAAAACATTTTAGTACCCATTGTCATCCGGCCGCGACAGTGTTGCACAACTTGTTTATAGGCCAAAGAAAAGCCACTATTAACTCCACTGCAAAAGAAAAATCGGCTTTGATGGGCTAAAGAACATAGACAATGGACACCTCAACAATGGTGTGCAATATAATGGAGTGATGAGGCCCGATTCGAAGTTTGTGTTGGTGACAGTCGCAGTAGAGTTATTCGCAAAAAAATTAAGCATTCCATGTTGACTGTCTGAAGAGAAAAGTGAAATTTCCAGCATCCATTATGGTCTGGGGCAGTATGTCATCAAAAAGAGTAGGAAAACTTCATTTTATTGATGGAAATGTGGATACAAACAAATATTTAGCAATTTTAGAAGAATCGCTTTTACCAGTGATGGAAGAATGTTTGACATCCGGCCAAGATTTTGTGTTTCAGCAAGATGGTGCAGCGTGCCATACTTCAAAAAACGCTATAAAATGGATGGAAGAAAATAATGTACCACTTTTGAAATGGGTTTCTAGCAGTCCAGATCTGTCACCTATTGAAACTTTGTGACACGAGATGAAAAAGCTTCTACGACAACATCCTGCTCATACAATCATCGAACTGAGACAAAAGCTTCAAGAAATATGGGATTGTTTTACACCAAATTTTTGCCAAAACTTAGTTAACACTATGCCCCAAAGAATTTCAGCCGTAATAAAAAATAAAGGTCATGTTACCCAATGGTAATCTTTCAATTATTGCTTTGTGAACTTCGCGCATTTTTTCGCACATTGTTTATTTGTTCAGATGTTCTATCAGCTATAGGTCTAAGTGATTTCAAATATGTATTTTTTACGACTATTATATCTAAAATGTTTTTGAGAAAATAAATCGTTTTAGAAGTAAATAGTTTCGTCATGTTTAGTTTATAAAGGCATATTTTGGTACAAATCTTGAAGTGGGCCAACTGAAGCGGGAAGGGGCTCGTATTTTCGACTATAGGAAGCTTCCTAATTATTGAACACGAAGCTGCATTATTTGTCAAGAAAGTTCATAGAGAGAGGAACGCCCGATACTCTTCTAAAATTTAGAAAAATCTTGTAATCCAAAAGATAGGTGAATAAACAACATTCTACAATGTGTGTTCAATTCTAACTTAGTAATAAATTATAGGTAAATACAAAATAAAGAATTGGATATTTGACGTGACTTGAGTAATTAAAGCTAATTTAGAATGTGAAATATCTCACCTACATCCTGGTCTGGAACAAAGATCTCCATACCGACACAGTTTCAAAGTAGAGACGGCAGGCGTTGGCGTGGTTTCCCGATTCACGTCTAGCGTCGTCACCTTGGCAACCACTTTGTCCATTTGTGACTGCCAAAACTGTTTGTGCTGAGCATTGTGCAGTCCGGTGTTTACAGCCAAAATTTGCGGTAGGGACTGAAAAACCATATGATCAAAATCGATCGTTAAGCTCGCGCTTGCCGTAATGACAAGTACTGGCCAAAAGAAAGGATATTTGTCAATTAAATCGACTCGGTACACACACATACTCATATAGGTCTATTTTCAAATTACAATTACTCATTTCAAACTGCTTCTAAAGATATCAGAATGATGTAGGTTTGAAATTTAAAATCTAGACCAGGTAGCCTCTTCGTATCTGATGGGAAATATATACTATTAAGATTTTTTGCATAATCTTATTCAAAAAGGGCGACTTCTAATGAATCTGCATGTTACCAGGCCCAAATTGCGTCATATTTTTTTACAATTTTTTTAAAGAACCTTCCCTAAATTGTTTTTTTTACTCCGGTCAAAATGTTTGCAAGTTTTTTAGGACATTCTGAACAAAAAAGTTCCTTCAGAATTTTTCGCTAAGGTTAGTTCGAGATATAAGCGATACAATTTTTGAAAAAGTTCAAAATATGCCATTTTCGACTCCGAAATGTTGATGTTGTCGAACTTTGTAAATATCTCTTACATCCATTAATAACATCCCAAAGAATTTCAAGTGTATTGATATTATTATAAACGTTTGTTTTCGCACTCACGCAGAGTATATACAGTTTGAGCGAGCTTAGTTAACAATTAAAAAACAAAAAATTAAAACAAGAATAAATCATGAAATGCTTTGGATATTTGACGAATATTTCGGATGTTCGGCAACATTAAAATTTTCGTTTTTTCACATTGTTGCTCGGGGTTCGAAAATGGCATATTTTGCAGTTTCTAAAATATTGTATTTCTTATATCTTGATAATTTCCTTAAAAACCCAACAACACCGGAACAAAGGAAGCGAAAAAACAATTTTTAAATGTAAGAAAAAAAGTTTAAAAAAATCTTGAACGCAAATTTAGGCCTGGCAACGTGCAGATTCGATGAAGGAGTGGAAATGGCGCATCGAAGGAAAGCAACTCAAGAGAGATCATTTGTTTTAAATTGAACGGGGAATTCAAAAATAATTTTTATTTGGCAAAAAACCATTGGCGTACCATTTTCTTCTAAAAAAATATCGAAGTCAATACCCGTACGCGCGCCACTGATAAAGCTAAAAATTATTTTTGAATTAAAAAATATGCAACTTTATTAACTTTCACTACATACTAAATATCAGTGAAATATCTGGAGCGATTCTGAAAATATTAATAAACTTCCATTTTTTTCCTAAAACGTCAACGCCCCGAGTTTTGTAAGGGAACATTCTTGGACCATAGTTTATAAAGCAAACTAACATTAATTTTTCATGTAAAATCACACCCTTAAATATTCGCATATCAATAAGGAACACCCTGTGTATGTTTATATTTCTATTCATTGCTCAACGTTCCGATCACCACTGTGTTTTTTCCAAGTACAATTGATAATTTGTACAATATATTTTATTTTCTGACCTCCAGGTGACATTTAATTTATTTTTCCCTTTTAGGGTGTGCTACTACAATAGTCCGAATGGTCCTATAACATGCTGCGATTGCGCGAAGCCATCATTGCAATTTAGATGACCATTTTAATACCACCTGGGGTAGGCATTCACGTTTCCATAAGTAAGTCCAGCCCCCAAAAACGACAAGCAAGCATGAGGTTGTCTGTCGTTTTTTAATGTACCAGACAAGCCACCCTCGTTCATCGTTCCGAAAACGCCAAATGTCTCCTGAAAGCCCTATAACCCATATTTATTTAGCATGATTTCTACAATCAAATTCTTTTAAAAAACTACACAAGTACATAAAATACAAATATTCATAAAAACAAAACTTGCAGCTCTAAGAATGTTCACTATTCATTAGACGTTCCGTTGATTTTCTTTTAAACATCTTTATATTACGAGTAGACTTTATATCATTATTCAGTTTATTAAATTCAAGTATTGCTGGTTATATTACTACGGCAAATTTGTAATGATTGTATGAATTCTATGTAAAAAAGAGAAATTTGAATTTTTTTATATCCAACCACTGCAATTACATAGATTTTATTTTGGTGTACTTATTTTTATTCAATATTACTCTCATAGGTTTATTTTGTAGGGCTTGTAATTTTGAGAATACAGCTTTATTGGCAGTGAACAATATAGCTGAACAATATAGAAGATGTGGTAGAGTAATGGTATTACACACTACTTTTTGGAATATGTACTAAAACAATGACAATGAAGTCCTAAAAGATCAATTTTTTGCAATTTTTGAAATAATCTATTCATAGTGATACTCAAACTTTAGTTTACTATCAATAAATATACCCAAACATTTAATTGATTCAACTTTTTCAATTATTTCACCGTTTATCCAAACTGCAATAGTATTTTCATTCAAGTAATTCCCTATTAGCAAACATATTGTTTTAGGAGCATTCAATTTTAGTTTATTTGCATTTAACCAATTTATAATTTTCGCCTAGTCAGAATGTAGCATTTTCAAAGTAGTGTCTATATATGTATATGAATGTATAATCTGCAAATATCTGATTATTACAATCATCTAAAATATCACAAATGTCATTAATATGTAAAATAAATAGTAGTGGACCCAGTTTACTACCTACTACCTTGCGATACACCAAGAGAAATATTTCTATTGTTATGCTATCGTCCACTGCAAATGCTGCATGTGCATTGGTTATGGATCCCAAATGACGGAAGTAGAAAATTCGACATCTGAAATCATCGTCTGCCTTGTGAGGAAATAATATGAGATGGCGAACTAAAGCATCTGCGCAATAGAGATCCAATAACAAATCTTAAGAAAAAACCTGGAAGTAAATCATGATCCATCAGTGGGTTTGGAGAATATCATTTAGAATTGTCCTTCAAATTGGGCCACAGTCCACAGAAGAACTAGAAAGACACTTGTTTAAAGATAAAAAAAGAACCAAAACGTCACCTGGAAGACAGAAAACAAAATATAATGACACAGAATGGTCAATGGCAAATGAAAAAGACTACTGTAATGATCTTAATGTCCAACAATAAACAGAAATCTAAACATATATGTGGTTTTGACTCAGCCAGAGAATGAAATACAATAATAATTATGAAAAATGCATTCCAGTATTTATTTTTTCTAAACATTCTATGATGAGTTATTGTTTTCAACTCACTTGTAGTATCTTTGATTGTAACGTTGGAGTAAACTTCCCACATTTTTCACACCACGCTGGTGTGGTCTGTTGAGGACATAGTGACTTTTTCAGAATATCACAAAAACTCCACTCGTCGCGCTCTGGCTCAAGTGTAGGGTAGATAAGGTTACAAACTAACAAGATGGATTCTTTTTTCACCTAAAATGTGGATTTTTTACAGAGATGAATACTGAGAAATCCAAATATCCCTGACGAGGTAATGTGTGCGTATGTTATAACATGCGCATTGCACGCTTCTCGCGCTTATTTCTCGTACACATTACGACGTCACTACGAGTAGTATATGGATTTCACTGTTTAAAATAATATACCTTGATATTTTCGATTTTAATTTAGATGTGTTGACGAACACATATTTTATATTTGTAACATACCTCGCAACAACATTTTAAACAAGAATTCATTTGCAACTGTTTGGTACCGAAAAGTTGGCTAATTTCTGAATCTTCCTCTCTTTTTTCTTCTTCTAATTTCATGTTAACCTCTGATGCTACAAATTGAATACAATATTAAGATTATACAGCAAAGGTTTTTTTTTTCAATTGTTATTCAAAATCAAAATATAGTCATATAGGGTGCGGAAGCATAACTTCCTTTTTCAAAACTTAATAAACCCCATTGTATAAATCAGAACATTTTTATTTGTTTTCTATAATGTAGGAACATGCCCAAAGTTTTGTTTTACATAGTTTTGAAGATCAAATCAGATAGGTGGCGTCTCCCATTCTCCATACTCTGAGTAAACCGATTTATGACGTTTGTCATAACTCTTGCCAGCATAGCAGGCGTTATCTTGGTAATCCCAGCTGAGAGAATAGCACACCACACTATGACTTTAGTTGAATACCAATGCCTTTGACGCAATTCTTGGGGACTGGTGTCAGCCCAGTAGCGCATGTATTGTTTGTTGACAAATCCACACAAATAAAAATTGGCTCCATCACTAAAAAAACAATAGGTCTTCAGAAACGACTTCAAGAATCCTCCTCGCAGAAGTTCACGTCTTGTCGCATTTACAGTTTGTCTGAATGTAGTGACTACGTAACAATTGATTTCCGGTCAAGGCAGGGGCCAACGGGGCTAAGTTAAAGCTATCCTGAAAGGCGCACTAGATTGCAATCACAGAACATCCGCTCGGAAAGTAGGCCTCAACGGCAAAAGCACTCTCCTGACTGTCCCGACGCATGATGGCGACTGAACTACGTCAGGACAAAACTTCCCCGTCTCTCGATCGAGACCCTAGCGCTCCGCTACATCAACAACAACAACATTTTATAAAATTATGTTATGCTGCCGCACCCTGTAAATGACGAATGCGATATTGGTAGGCTTGGGTAGAACTAGTTACCTGAAATATTTACTTTTTTACACTTGTCATTTGAAATAATGGGAAAATCAGTTTCCTTAAAAACAAACGCTTTTTTGCTTGCTTTTTTTTCTTCATCTCTCTTTTTTGTTTCTATTAGTTCCACGTGCATCTGGTGCAACATGAATCTATTCCAACTCTAGAAAAAGTAACAGTACACTTTCATTTTTAAACTTTGTACATTGGTCGAATATTACTTGAAGTTCACCTCACCTGTATTAAAGCAGACAGCTCAATTTTCTGTTTAGCCTCAGGATGCAAGTCATTTAAGATCAAACTAAGAGCTGAAGCTTCAGGAACTGTACGGAATGCTCTCAAAAAGTTGCCGGGTTGACAAGGCTGGTTTTGTGATGACGTATAGAGCATGTGGAACAGAAATCTCAGTTCGCAAGACAAACAGAATTCTTTTGTACATAGATGGGAAAGTAGAATTGAGCGTAAAGGTTTTGCGTAATAAAGAACCTGGAATAAAAGAGTGAACTTTGTTGCATGTTTCCAGTGTTTTACCAAAGAATAGTCATATCAAGAGAAGGCACCTCGTGGAACGCCTTTATATGGTAATCCGCGAGTCGGCCCAATTGACCTGTCATCTGCATTATAATAAGGAAGCCAATCGTAATTTTTTTGTTACATTATCGCGTACTGACATGATACGATAAAAACTAGTCACATTTTACGCAATTTGATGCTAAACAGTAAACTTGCCTAGTTTGCTATTTGCGATCAAATTGCATAAGATTTGATTAGTTTTAAAAATGTCAAAACAGTACGCAATGTAAACAAAACTTTGCCGTCGATTTTTCAACCATTACTGGTTTACAAATAGAAATAACGATCTATGTGACTCGGCATGGCGATTCGCTCATAGATGTCTCTGCATGTACCGAGACGGTGTTTCCAAACTGCCATAAAATATTTATAAAATGCCACATTTATACTATGCTGAATGGAATTCACCTCTTTCCACAGTTTTTGGAGGTTACGTCAAAAAGTCATACGAAATAAAGGTGCATACATAACTGGCGATCATTTCAAACAGATCGACGATCCGTCAAATAAGCAATATGAGGTTAGAAAACTTTTGAATTTCAAGCTGGTGTACTTCTTTTGTTACTAAACGAAGTCGTCCAGTACTTCGCGTAGGGACGTAAGTGATGAATTACAGGTTTTTCTCTCGCAAAAAGTTCATGATAAATATCCTCACCATGAATAAATGTCCAGGCAAAAGTGAATTTGGTCAAAAAATCCGTTCACTACAAGTGATGGTCAGTGCTGTTCACGCTGTAAAAACGATCCCGAAACTTGACGCCTGCAGAACCAGTCTAGATTTGACAGAATTGCCATGTTGAGGGATTTTCCCCCAAATTTGGGAGATTTTTACTAGGAGAATTTTTTGGGGATATAATGTTATGGGGGAAATCACACATTTCGCTTATAGAAAACATTCACTCTTTGAGCCAAACCTGCCCCTTTTCATTAAGTAAGTGTGATTTGGGCGATTGTTTTAAAAAATATAAATTCTTAGCGATCTTTATGCTTGTTCTGGAGACATTCTGTCCTACCTATCTGGCAACGCTGTGCCTTGACAGAACTACCATATGAAGATTCTCCTAATAGTCCAAGATCCGGCCGCTTGTTGTAGAATAACTATGGTACTCATTGTGCAATTCAATAAAGTTTTCTAAATGATTTGGTAGGTGATTTTTTAACTTGAATATGAAAATGAAAACCAAGTAGGTTATGGAACTGTTGCTATATCTATTTTTATTTAAGATGATTCTCATAACTTTATTTTGTAATTTTGAAAATACAGTTTTGTATGCAGTGAACAAAATAGTCCAACAATATAACAAATGAGGTAGAATGATCGTGTTGTACACATTTTTTTTTTTTTTGAATAGGCACTTAAGCTATGCGAAATTCTATAAAAGAAATTTTGATTTACTATCTACATATATGCCCAAATAATTAAATGATTCGATGAACTCAATTTTTTCATAATTAATCGTAAGATTTATTGTACTTTCATCTAAAAGGCAGTGTTGTAAAATATCAGGAATATCGCTTATTTAAAATAAATAATAATGGACCTAATCTGCTACCCTGTCGCACACCTACCGAAATTTTGTCAATATGTTGTTTTCTCAATATTTATATAAATTTCAATTAGACCTTTCCTTCAAAGATATTCAACCAAATTGGGTCACAGTCCAAGAAGAACTAGGAAGACAATGTTTATTTAATTTTATATGGGCTGATTACCTTCCATTTGTAATTGTTATCCTATTTATGTAGTATTTGGACCTCCTCTCATTTTACCCTATGTCCAGTTTCGCATCCACGTTCGATTAGAGCCGAACAGAGGAAGAAATCTCAAAATTGACACTAAGCAAATATGTATGGGAAAGAGGACGGGGGGTAAAACGGGAGGAAGTCTCAAAACTACATAAAGAGCACAACAATTACAAAAAGGAAAGTAAAGCAATCAGCCTAGATGAAATTAAACAACAATTCTAGATCTTCTGTAAGCTGTGACCCTATCTGGCTGAATATCCTTGAAGGAATGATCCCTAGAACGTCAGAAACGATATTTGAGCAATTTTTATTTTTTTCAGTTATTTGCCCTTAGTTCGGCCGCCACTGAACCGATTTTCAAAGTATTCTTTTAGTTCTTGCCTAGTAGTAAACATGTGGAAATTTCATGAAAATCAGAGAAGTGCTTTCCAAGTTATGGACGAACCAAGCGTTAGCAGACATACAGACAACAAACGCCGACAGAGCGACGAACGTGTTTCTTTGTCATGTACCAAAAAACATCTCATTTTAGAAATGTCTGGCAATTACAATACTTTCTCCAAGTTTTTTTTTACACTCCAACTACCACGAAGGCCTAAGCCCTAAACACCCATTCGGTGCCGTCGGGCTAGCATGGCAACACGTGAGTGAAATGGAAAACCTTGGGAATCAGGTTTTCGCGCTGAATTTGATAATAATACGTCCTTGTTTGTTTGTAGTAGCTTTTCGCATATTCTTTGAAAAATTGTATGCACATAAAGATTGCGGCAGGATATGTTGACATTTCTCAATACGCAGACGCTCTAAGCTATGTTCTACCCCCACTAGATTTCCGAGAGCCACATCATCCTTCACGACAGGATTGGCTTAATACAAATAGGTGTATCACTTATGCAGTTTAACCTCCCATCTCTAGTCTTCGTACTGTAAATGAAGCATTTAATTGCTTCATTCATTAGCGATCAAGGCTAAAAAGAAACTAACTAATGACAAAACTGAAAATAACTTACTTGAATCATACAGTTGCAATACGCGTTAGGTAAGGTTGCTTCCAAACCAGAAAAGGAGGTTCTATTGTACAAGTCAAATTTAAAGTCGTCACATCCTAACTTATTATACTTCACGTCCACCTTCCTGTACCTTTTAGGAATTGCGATGAAAAAGTTGGAATCATCGTGATGCTTCGGACTCTTATTTACAGATCCGAAACCGGCAGACGAACCATTTTTCGCACAATCGTACATTACCTAAAAATATAATATAAATAGCAGTTTATAATCAAATACAGGATCCGGCAGCATAAGTTCCTTTTTCCGTTCAGTCGTCATCATGCATTGGGACAGTAAAGAGCGTGCTTAAGCTGTTGAGGCACACTTTTCAAGCGGATGTGCCATGAGCGCAACCCAGTGCGCCTTTCAGAATCGCTTTAATTTAGCCCCGTTGACCCCTGTCCCTGACACCATGCTCAATCTGCAAGCGCGACGAGACGAAAACTGGAGTCCCTCGGCGCATTAGATCACCTGAAAACATTGATGCAGTGAAAGCTTCAATGATCCGATCACCACTTCGTTCTACGCGCAAACATGCGCCTGCCCTTGGACGTTACGATCGTTTTGTAAGAAAAATTCATGATGATCATTTATTTACATCCTTACAAGATGGCAATTGTGCATGAGCTTTCTGCATGTAACTGCAATTCTCGGATGGACACGTGTGAGCGTCTTCTCGAAGTCGAGAACGATAAATTTGTTTTTTTTTAGTGACGAAGCCCCTTTTCAGTTGTGTTGGTCCGTCAACAAACAAAACGTGCTACTAGTCTAACGCCGATCCTCGAGAATTGCAACAAAGGCCTGTGCATTCATGTAAAGTCACAGTGCAATTTTATAACTGGAATTATTGGTCCCTGGTCCTTAGAGTAAAATGAACTCGCAGTAGATTCAGACCAATATGTAGACACAGCATTTTTTCCACTGCTAGCCGAGTTGGACTTTTGATTACAATAAGATGGTGCAACGGCACACACACTTCAGGAGCAAAGATGAAAGTTTGGCCCCATGTGATTTTTTTCTATGGGGTTGTTTGAAATGTCGTGTTTATCAGAACCTTCCAAGGACCGTCCAAGATTTGAAGACCGAAATCCAGGACGAGATTCCCAACATAATGGCTGCAATATGACAAGTCAAGACAAACGCCAGAAATCGGTTTATGTATGGAGAATGGGGGACGTCACCTATCTGATTTGATCTTCAAAGCTATGTGAAACAAAACTTTTGGCATGCAACACATTATAAAACTCGAATAAAAATTTACTGATTCATACAAGTTTTGAAAATAGAAAGTTATGCTGTCGCACCCTGTGTGACGCTTCGCCATAATAAATACGTAAAGTGCCCTTAATTTTGCCTAAAAAGGTCAATTCTAAACGAAAGGTTCCAGCTTCGCATACATTATAATGTGAATCACAAATCTTATTTTTTTATGATCAATGTTTTGGAGAAATAAAATAAAATTTCGGTTTCCCCAGAACCGTTAACGGAAAAGCAAAATACAAATAAATGCAAAAAAAGTCTGGCACTAATTTCGTGCCTGCCTTCCGTATAAAAGATCTTGCTTTGATACCCTTACCAACTTACAGTCAAAGGATGAACAATATAAAATTGAGCTATAGGTTCAAATGAAATTGTTATACCTAACTCAACAACTTTATTGCAAGCTTAATCACAAATATTGTGACATCAGTCTGAGTTTTATCACAAACAATACCCACAAGAATATATTGGTAACAGTAAAATAAAGAAGCAAAAATATTATCTAACAAAAGTAAACAGTGCTTAGTTTGTCAAGTCTCACTTGGTTTCTCCTGGATGTTTTTGGATTAGGTGCGTAACCAATCGGACCCTGCATCTTCATGGTACCCAGTATTTCTGGATCTATACCCGGGGATTTCCTGGAAAAACAATAAAATTGAAGTTTTTTTTTTGTGTAAAACAAAAAAAAAACAAATTATTCTATAGCCTGGTACCGAAACGGAAGATAGTACCAAAAGAAGTCGCACGCACTGTTAACGCGGCGCAGAGTGGGGCCGAAGCCCGGAATGCCTGGTCTAATCCAAAAAAAAAAAAAACTGTTTCAGTGGATAATTAATTAATAACCATTATAGGGATATTTTGCAGTATCAAAAACTGCATTCAGTTTTTGCTTATATCATTTGCTTCCAGTTGTATAATCTCTAAAAAACAAATACGTCTAAGATGGGCAGAATGGATACTTTTAATATTTTTAATTTGATTGTCATGTTGTCAGAACTAAAACTATCGTCTTGGGATTCAATGAATGTGGAAATATGGAGAGCTCGAAAGCTTCATTACCTTTTACTGAGTAAGCCTGTATATATGAAAATATAATCTGTAATATACTATTGATAAGTGATCCTCTGTATACTGGTTTTCACAATCCTTTATGGAATATATATCTCAACCTTCTTCAAATTTCTCTAGCCAGGACTTAAAAAAGAATCTTCATGCATTTAAATATTTAGGCAAGCAAAGACATACGAAGTCTAAAAATTAAGTGATGAGACTGGAATAATTTTTTTTATTGAAGTGTAATTAAAATTTTATATTGTCACCCTCAAAATAGGGTCCTTCTGAAGCCACGCAGCGGTGGAAACTCCTCATAGTAGTGCTGGAACTCCGATACTGGAATAGCCTTCAGATGTCGGTTACAGCCACTTGAATGTTTTCGACTGTCCCAAAATGATGAGATGATTTTTCAACTTTGGGAAAAGAAAAAATCACACGGACTCAGAGCAGGCGAATAAGGATCCACGAGAATGTGTTTACTGGCCAAAAACTCGGTTACAGTCATTGCTGTGCGTCAATGAGCATTATCGTCATGCAACACCCAGTTGTTCTTGATCTGATGAACAATGGTGTTAGTCAAATTTAACTTTTCGTGATCATTCTGACTGTCAACCGGCAATCTGAATGCACATATTTTCATCGGTTGTTGAAGATGAAGGCCTTCTGCTTCGTGATTCATCTTCAATCGACTCTCTCCCTTCTGGAAATGCATTAAACCACTGATAAACCTGGCCTCTTGACAAAACATTATCTCCGTGGGCCTGCTCAAATTTAGCAAAAGTTTCCGTTGCACTGTACCCAACTCAGAAGCGAGACCTGAGAGCACACCGTTGTCACTCATTTTGAGAACACAATAGGAAAAACATGTTCCCCTGAGTCCCCTTCAAGCTCGGTGCCTCCAGTGTTTCCAGATCGAACGCTATGTTTCCAGTCTCATTACTTAATTTACAGGCCCCGTAGAATTCATCCCCTCTATATGGCATCTTACAATTAGATTTTTTCTATAAAATATTGGATGCCTATTATTGATAGAAGTATGTAGTTATTAAAAAACATTATTTTTCTAGAGAACTACATCTATCTCGTTCAGCATCCGATATAGAGTTACCTGTCAAAAATATTTCTACACATGTATAGGCATGCTCGACATAGGAAAAATTGCTTTTTCTGAATTATTTGTTGCTAAACAGTAGCTCACAATATTGAAAATGACAAGGGAAATAGTATAAATAATACAAACAATAAATACACGGAAACACGCACAGTTTTTCCCACTTCTTAGTACATTAGAAGTTTTGGCAAAGTTTTCTGGTATTTGGTCCCACTGTGTGTGAATATGCTTACACTTTACTGTGCTCTAGGTTAGATTACAGTAAAAATGAAAAACAGACTATGGAGTCGCAACACTTGCTTATCAGTAGGCATTCAAAAATTGTGAAAAACACTGTTGAAACAAGGCAAATTGAAAAAAAAACAGTAGATGTGCACATGATAATAATCAACTTTATTTGCCGCCACATAATTGTACATCGCTGGTGAAAGGGTGAACAGCTGCATACATTGGGTGAAAGGTATCTTCATTGAGGCAACTTTGGCATGAATGGGAGTTATAAGCAGTTTTAATTTTCCTTTATGCCGTTGCGGCACCAAATTTTACACCTAGTTAGTAGCTCGAACAAATATTTCAAGAAAATCCCCAGTAACTTAGAGCCGTATCGTCAGTCGTTACTACAATAAATTGCAGGACGCTTTTATGGTCTCGTTGAGTTTTATAATTTTTTACTGTACCGAGTCAGCGATCTATTTTAAAGTTATGTTACAAATATCTATTGGCATCAAATTGTTCATGCTGATCTATATCACCCGTTATCAGCCTGAAATTTCTTACAATTCAAAAAGAAAACATAGTCTCATAATATGAAAGCACTGACGCTGACACGGAACAGTAGACATCAAATAATACTTCAGCCAGAGAAAAGAGTAGCAAAATCAGGGAGGTCATAAAGGCGTCCTGCAATTGTAGGGACTACTGACGATACGGCCCTCCTTGATTTTCATAGTTTTCTAGTACTCCGTGTCAGCGCTCTATTTTGAGGTTATGTTGCAAGTATCTATTAGCATCAAAATGTTCATGCTTTTAATTTATATCATCTATTATATCAGCCCGAAATTTCATACAATCCAAACAGGAGCTAGGAATTAGGAGAACGCTGACGCTCACACGGAACAGTAGAAATCTAGTAATACCCCAGCCTTTCTAAAGGAGAATAACCATGAAAATCAAGGAGACCATAAATGCGTCCTAAATCTTGTTCTTTTTGAACTATTGCCTGAAATTGAGTATTAGTACCTGTTGGAAATAAAATCGATTTATCTATCTATGAACCATTCAAATGGATCAACATATCCTGGCTCTAAAGGCAAGAAAAATACTATACAGTCATACGAACCTGTAAATCTTCTTGATCAACTCAGGTGGCCAGTCTGACGCCAACGGCAGATTGAGAGGCATGACAGGCATTGGTATCACAGAGAGGGGTGTGTTGAAATCATCCACACCAAAATTCGGATAATCAACAGGCTGTTCGTCCGGCAATTCACAAGGACGCGAGTATGTATTGATGAGCGGCTCAGGAGTTGCAGGATTGTCTGCAGAAGAAGACGGCGGAGTGGAAGCAAACACGTGAATGTGACCTGTATTATCGCCACATGCCAGAATTTGACCACTGGTGGATATGTCAAATGTCAGACACATTGCACCTGTAAAAAATGTCAAAGCTAGTAAAGGGGTTTACACAAATATTCGAGTTTTTGCATCTGTAGTACGGATGGCACTGATTACAAAAATCGATTAAAATGGCTAATTTATATAATCGATTATTAAGAATCTATTATAACTAAAAAATAATCGAATTTCATAGAAGTTGCTGCTTCAGTAAAAAAAAGTTACGACTCAAATTCGTTTATGGTTTGTAGAATTATTGGTACTGAATATTATGGTGTGTCTAAAAATATATGGGCTAATGCTGCATTCCTGTGGAACAAATAAAAAGAATATATCCCAAGTTCCTGTAAAAGGAAATACAGGAGCCTAAAGAATGGTACTACAAAATCGCTGTTGTTGGATAACTTCCGAATGTCTTTTATTATTATCATCTTCCTTTTTGTGGCACATCAATTTGATCACAATTTGTAATTAATTTTGTAAAATAATAAAAACATAATTTTCTAATTTACTTTTCGATGGTCCATATCTTCGAAGAATAGACGCGAGGGGCATTTTTACAGGAATTTGTCGCATGAGCTTTTGAATCACACACAATATTGACTTTCTATGATGCTAGAGCTGTATAGACAGTATTTGTGATAATATCATAATGTGGACAAACTCTGGATGAGGAAAAATGTTTTCAGTAAATAGACAAAGCTAGGCAATGCTTGAATCGATACACTACCTGGGTTTTCCATCTGTAGTAGACTCAAACGCGGTTCTGCAAGCGCTATTGTATCCAAAAGCTGTATCTGCCCCAGAGCAGAAACAACAGCCAGGCGAGAAGATATGGAAGGTATGAATTTGAGGAAAAATGGATCCAAAACAGTCTGCATGGGATTAATGGCTCTTAACATTCTCAAATCGTAAACCATAAGGTATCTATCGACTGCTAAGCTATTGTGTCTGAAAATAGAGTATTCTGATATACACAGAGCTGTACAAGATACCCTATACAAGTATCTGGAATAGAAAATACCAGATACTTTTAAAACAAGTATTTCAGATAAGAGATACAAAATACTTTCTGGAATAATATAATACATAATAAAATGCTTTTGTAACAAAACAACATTTTATTAATACATTTAAGGTTTTTATTGAGACATTTTGTGACCATATTTATTTTAACAGTAACAGGTGTTGTATATGAAAAATATTTTTTACTGTAGGATAAGGTTTTAAGCTCTTTAAGCTGGCAGTTTTAGGCATTGCAGTGTTTTTAAGACAGCAGTGGTGCCAGTAGACCCTGTGATTTCACTGTTTTTGTCACTTGCAATAGAGGAATCAGTCCTCTAAGAACATGTTATAAGACTCGACTTTGACTTCTTTTTTATATCAGCTCCAATATTGTCTGAAGCGACTGATTTTTGTTAATCAGATCGATTAATTTTCCGTGTTTCAGTCAGGATAATTTTTTCATCATATTCTTGACCACAGACTAAACTTTCAAAGGCGCGTTTTGTGTAGAAATACATAGGTAACAATTACTAAATTGAGTAAAAAGTATTTACCAAATATAAAGATACCAAGCGAAAAGTATCTAAATACAAGATTCAAATACAAGTTTAAAAAAATATCTTAAATACAAGCCATTTTCTAATCCTATTTACTACTACAAATTACTATTAGGATGAGTATGGCGAATACTTACCTGTTGCTAAATCCACAAGTAACCAATAAATTGCCCTGAACATCAAAATCACTGAGACTTCCTGTATGTGCATCTATACTATGTTCTATTTTCAAATTGTTTGGATCCCTCAGATCAATACGACCTAACGGACTTCCAGCACAAACAAATCTAGAGTGTGGTCTTAACATAACACAACCAGATTCACCAACATTAGTCTGAAAAGTGTTGAATTTCAAATGCGTAAGCTTAAATGATCGAGTGTATTATTTCACTCATTTTACAATATAATGTTAAAATAAATAAAATCAGCAATTATGATCCAAAGTGGCCTCAAAATACTCACAACTTGGGTTTCTTTACAGGTGCCGAGATTGAAGTCTATTAGTTTATCTTGATGTCCTCCAATCAAAAATCTTGCAGGCGACATTTGTAGAATACATTGCATTTCATTCATATTCTGAGAGCTGAAATTTGTTTTGATCAAAATTATTAATAATATTAATTGGCTTCTTTTATCTTGCATTTACTTTTTTCTAGTTTTTTTCTAGGTTGCTAAATGAATGTAGGAACTTAGGTTTGATTTTTCGGTTTTTTTCTTCCACATGGTTAATTTTCTTACTTATAGTAAGGAAGCCCAATAGGGAATTTTGGGATTTACTCAAGCCTGGCAGATCGACACAAGTAGGGATACCTTGCATCCTGTTGAGTACCTCCTCGATATATAGTGAAAACAAAAATCGATCAGTCGTTAGACGTACTCGAACGCATCCGACTAAGATGCATGCTGATTCATGTTTATTGGTATATTTTCGTGTAGTATTTAAATTACATACTGTATTTAAAACAATTATTATTATTAAGCTAATGCGAGGATCACAAGCTTGCAATAAAACGCCACCTTGACATTCTCGGGCGCGTTAGATTTTTTTATTGTGAAGGAAAGACTAAGAAGAATAACTGCAAAGATATACGTAATCTCAGGATTTCGCCAAGCCGGAATAGGATAAATTCGCCAATAGAGTTTAGTGCACAGCAGCAGTAGAGCTTGTACTTCCCATTCAGACACAGATGAAAAAAGACATTCTAAAAAATTGAATTTTCATTTGCTATCTTTTTTTAATTCAAGAAATATATTTCGTTACTTGCATTTTCAGTGCATTGTATTTTTGCACCATTAGTAATTTAAATTTATTTTTCTAAATTGCTAGATTAACAAAATCCCTCAAAATCAGAATATGAGTCAGCACGAAGGTCAACCACTCTCAATATCTGACCCGCTGGATTATTTTTTTTTTCAATTTTCTGCTGGCAGATCAGCAAATCTCCAATATCAGGGACACATGTGGTATATACAAAATATCGAAATCTGACGAGTGCGAGTATTTCTATGTAAGTGTTTTGTTTACATTGTTGAAAACCTGTAGGTAGGCATTCTCCCACCAGTGAGGGCCTGATTTTGATATGGAGATCAAGGAGAAAGTTATACTCATATATGAAACAATATGTGAAATACTCAAAAGGCTCAAGCTGAATTTCCCAAAAAAATTGAGAATTGATAAAATATTTGTTGAATGGTAAGTCCCTGTAATTTGTCTAATATTACCAACGAATTCAGACTAGGTAGAAAGGGTGGGTTAAGGATTTGTTTGTTTCCTAATTGTCATCGGCAAAGTGCATCTAACATAAAGGATTTTTTCGCGAGTCCACGGTGTAGCACAGTGCACTACCGGGAACCAATACTCAAATTTTCGCGAAGAACAGGAATAGGGGAAGACGGATGTCAAAAAAACAGGCATCTCATTTGAAAATTTGTCTTCGGAGTGCTGAAAATTGAGTTAAATTTTAAAGCGTAAATGGATGAATACGTCCACCTGTTTTTAAATGACGAGGAAGAAGGTCATCGAAGATATATGAACCACACTTGTCATATCAAATGATTGATTTTATTGATATATACGTACATTGCACAAAAAACGATCGGTCTTTTCATTTCAGATTCATACAAGGTAGCTAAGTTTATCAAGGAGCTTAAAGCAAACATTTTGCGCAACATGCGCCATCTAAGCACTCCCGGTGTAACTTGAAACTGTCAAAACTTCGAGAGGAAGGGGAAATTCCATCTGTTCCCGCTCCGGTTCACTACGGGATCTCGCGAAAAAATCTCTATATATAGTCAATTTTCTGACAGTTGTCATTAAATTTGTGTGTTATTTTTCAAAGTGCCGAATGTTTGCTGATAATTGTAGTGTTAGGCGATTTCAAGACAAGTGACTTCTTGCACAGAGCAGCAGAATCCTAATGGTAGATGTTTCCACCAATGAGTATTATTATGTTGATACAACTCCATTAGATTGGTAGTCATTGGTAGTCAACGATGAACTAAAACTACGCGATTTTGGCGACAATCAATATAGTGTAAACAGAGTGTCCCAGAAGTAGACGTCAAGCCGAAAACGGGGGATAGACCAAGACAGAATAGTATAAAAACACTCATGTGCCCTTGTAGTGACAGCAAGACAGATAGTAACGCTACTTTTATTAACTAGTGAACGTATTTATTAAATTCGCAATATATGGTGGAACTGCCTTCCTTCAGCAGCAATACAAGCTTGACATCTTAAAAATGATCGGGTTAACAGTCGGCCGAATCTTCCGTTATTAACAAATTCAGCTGCTTTCGTTGTTCTGTCCTGTAGCTCAGCTAAGTTTGAGTAAACTTTTTCTTTCACTGCTCCCCAGTAAAAAAAAATCGATTGGAACACGTCAGGTGAACGGGCTGGCCACCAAATTGCACCTGAGCGCCCTATCCATCTGCTCGGGTATTCCGCATCAAGATATTCTCAAACTGAACGGGCATAGTGCGCCGGGCAGCTGTCTTGCTGGTACCCCATGTCCCTGTAAATGTTTGGTGCCACCTCTTCCAATAAATTTGGTAAATGATTTTGTAAAAAGTCTTGATAAATTTCGCCATTCAAGAACTATGGTAGCTCAAATGATTCTCCCATTTAGAATCCGGGTCCATTTGTATACTTTAGAATGATACTGTGATTTATCTTGTCTCACTTCCACAAGATTCGGTGGGCTGGACTTCTAGTCACTCCTCTGCTTGCTTTGATATGATGTATGAAGTACTCAGGTCTTCTTCCACTGCTTGTAATATGTTGCCCTTGTAAGGAAAGGAAATTCTTCCTTCACCATGTGCTTGACTTGGGAATTGTCCCTCTGAGAGTAAACAGTGCTCATTCACACAAACTCGGTGATTGAGATGACAAGCAGCATTTGGGTACCTCTCATGATAAAGCCTAGCTGCAGCACTAGTATTGCATCTAAGTTCCCCACAAACGAGATTCATGTTAGCATATTCCTGTACAGTGTACATAGTCATGATGGCACTGCACAATCACAAATTAATAAAAGGAGTATTACTATATGCCTTGCTGTCACTACATAGAATCACACTGTTCATCATTCTGTCTAAGAAAAAATTGAAATTTGTAGTAATGGGAACTAGAACATCAACACAGAGTGTTGATTTTTCCGATTTTTTTAAGACTATAATTTGGAAAGTACACGACTTAACCTTTTTTATATTTTTCTGCTAACTATTATGACTTGGCATATCCCCCATTTTCCACTTGATGCAGGCTTCTGAGGCACCTTGTATAGGTTTGGCTCCTCCTAATCTATTCGAATTACGTATTACTTACACATGAGTATAAACTGGAATTCCTCTTCTGATCTGATACCTCAAGGTGCTCGCTGTCAAAACAAGAATGCCCTCATTGATTGTTATGATTTGTCTTATATCTTCAGTTGCATGAACTTGGAAAGAGGTGTATTTTGACATTGTTGGTGCCATATATGAGGTAACATGTCCCTATTGGAAACATTAGAAGTAATAATTTGAAAACAGCCAGCTGAAAATTTTACTATAGCATAAAATTATAGAGAATTTGAAAACCACTGAAACCCACTTGGAAACTACTAAATGTTTATAAAAATATTACATCAATTTATTCAAGTCAGGTTCAGCCACTCAACTCTGTGCACTCTACTCACATTTTTTACTGGCAAGCACTGATGGATGTTAGCACCCAAGTATTCTTGTATTCATAGCATTTCTTATAATGAAAACAATGGTAGTAGAAACCTTGGTTAGAAATTAGTGGCTATCATCACATGACTTTATGTAATTTAGGCATTCTAAACATAAATCAAATTCAAGCGGATAACCAAATGGAAATGGTATTTACCATTTTGGGTTGGTATTTACCAATCCGTTCAAGCGAGTGTAGTTATAAGTTTGGTTATAAGATCCGTGACGTCACAAATCAGCTGTTATATGTCATAGTTATCACCGAAAAATTGTGGTATTTACCCAACTCAAGAGTAGTTTTATATTTCTGGTTATTATTTGAAATGTGACAAGTTAGAATTTTGCCGGGTATTGGATATTGTTATTGTACTTCAGCTTCATTTTTGAGAAAAATGATACAGACTGACTTCAGTTTTACCATAAAGTGGAGCACCTTATTAGTTATACTCATTACGGTTGTTGGGGGCACTTTAAATGTAGTTCCTATGCTTAACAAAGTATCCTGTGTAGCCATATACCACAAGAATATTAAAATATGGCCATATAAACTCACTAGATGATATCCACCTGTATACGCTTTTGCTATTTCTTTTTTCATCATTTCTGCTGAATCAATAAATGTTTTCTTTGACATGCGGAAAAATTTAGAGAATTGAAAGTTATCATAGCCACAAAGCCATGGTTCCATCATTAAAAAAAAAGATTTGAAAAAACATTTCTCTCATGAATATTATGAAAGGTTTCTTATTTAAACTTTCCATATACAGTTGTAGACGAAAAAGCACCGATTATTAAGTGATAATAAAAATAATCAGAGATTATATACGCGCTTTTCTAAAATAAACAACTTGCAACAAAACCGCGGTTAAAACCAACGCGTTCAAGCGATTCGTGTAACTGACGTCATCAACCCGTGTGTCATCTTGAACCATATTATAACCGCGACACATAACACAGAAATTTTGGTTATTCGCTTGGATTTGATGATAGTGTTTCACAGAACTCCAGAGTAATACTTCAACTATCAATCTACATTCCATTACTGTGTTCAGTTCTACATTACTGGCACTGCTTCTGGTGTTATGACTTAGTGTCTAATCATGCACCATAACATTTCTTTATGCACAAATATTGTGCTCAAGGCAAAACACTGCAAAATTTTACCAGTGGAACACAAGATGCAAAGGTAAAATGCACTAGTCCACCCCAAAGGATCATCCTGACAAGGAAAAGTATGTAATAGTGTGAAGACCAATGGAAAATGTTACTCCTCCCATGGCTGTTTGTTAAACTTTGATATGAAATGACCTAAGAGCAGAGAGCCAGAACCTGGTTGTAAAGGTATCAGTGAGATTCTTCCTAGGAATAAAATATAAAAAGTGTTGTTCAAATGATCTCAGAATTTGAAAGTAATTCAGTTAATATAAGGTCCCTTCAACAATATCAAAAAGCAGTTCAACCACATCAGAATACTCACTCCTTGGTTTCCCATCCACAGTAGTTCTTCATGTTTATCAAATGTAACAGCTGAGACACCAAACGTGTCCCCGCCGTCGGCTAAAATACAGTGTGTTTGAGTGTATTCTGCATCTATGCCTGCTAACGTTGTATCCAGAGCAGGTACGATTGCGGTATCATCTGCGGGGGCAACTACTGCCAGCTGAAATATATGACTATTCAAATAAATTGATTTCTGGGAAACTTTAACTCAAAAACGTACCCCCGTATTGTCGAAATACATGTCTGTGTGTTACGAGATATGTTTTGGGCCCAGAAACTGGTCATGCACCTATCTGCTATAGACTAGAAGTAGGAGATACTTGTGCATTTTCAAGAAAATTAAGGAAAAAGATGGAAATTTTACAATATTAAATGTAAAAATGAAAAAATACAAATTATAACTCGGTTGTCAGTTGTCAACTTGAATGGCATATTTTGACTTTTGACGGTTATGTGGTAGACTGGCGAATTCTTAGACGAGGAAAGGGCGAATTACTTCTATAATCGTAGAGCTGTGTTGCCGATTCTTCCGATTTTTTTGGTATTTCTATTCATATGAGACCAGAGTCTTAAAATTATTAATTTCCAGATTTTTAACAAAAAAGAACTGGAACCAAAACGCAAGCTGAAAAATCAATTCTATATAGTTTTATGTACCACATACCAGTCATACATAAGCGTACACTTACGCTGTCGGGCACACGACGGCCGTAGATTTGGGTTGCCTACAAATGTGTATGCTCATCCCTTATTTCCGTTTTACCTATATTGTGTGTACAACAGGTACAACCTAGGTATACCCTATTTCGCGAGTATCCATCATGCTATGACGTCTACTAAGGTGAACAGCTGATCAGCAAGTGACATCTTTGTGTTAGTCTGCAACGTTGGCAATTATAAATCGGTGGAATTTAGTAAACTTGTTTAAAGCGTTTTGTTTTTGTATGCAAATGAACTTTTATAAATAAAAGAGCTCTTAGCAAGTACAAAATGAATTTGTAGTGCAGAAAAAACAAATCAAAATATTGCTCTGTCCACCTGGCATTGACGGACTTGTCAGAATTATGTGTCCTTTGCGGATATGAGGAATTTCGAAATATTACTAGATAATCAGCTGTCATACTACCGTAATGGATACTCATGAAAAAGACTATAGGTCACCGTTATTACCTCGTCGCTGTACAATATGGAAACCAAAACTCGTCCGAGTCTAATTAAATATTAAATTAAAAGATCAAGTGGTGATGAGGCTTCTAGTTCATAGGATAGACGGATATTTAGAATCTTATAAACAAGAATGCCAAAAGAAAGTTTCAATGATGATTGCAAATGAGTTTGAACAGCGACCAGTATATTCATTGTACAAGTTATAATAAAGAACCTGCTATTTTTTCAGGAACAGATGCCCTCAAAAGATTGTGTTGTGTGGCCCGATACTGAATTATATTTTTTTCATAGATGGCGTTGCGTACGACAAGCCACTTGATCCATGGCTGGTTTTGCGGCGGCCCTCATTTTTCCTCAAAGAGATTTTGTCCTTGAATCGACTGAATTTCAACGACATTAATCAAATTCAAGCGGATAACCAAATGGAAATGGTATTTACCATTTTGGGTTGGTATTTACCAATCCGTTCAAGCGAGTGTAGTTATCAGTTTGGTTATAAGATCCGTGACGTCACAAATCAGCTGTTATATGTCATAGTTATCACCGAAAAATTGTGGTATTTACCCAACTCAAGAGTAGTTTTATATTTCTGGTTATTATTTGAAATGTGACAAGTTAGAATTTTGCCGGGTATTGGATATTGTTATTGTACTTCAGCTTCATTTTTGAGAAAAATGATACAGGCTGACTTCAGTTTTACCATAAAGTGGAGCACCTTATTAGTTATACTCATTACGGTTATTGGGGGCACTTTAAATGTAGTTCCTATGCTTAACAAAGTATCCTGTGTAGCCATATACCACAAGAATATTAAAATATGGCCATATAAACTCACGAGATGATATCCACCTGTATACGGTTTTGCTAATTTCTTTTTTCATCATTTCTGCTGAATCAATAAATGTTTTCTTTGACATGCGGAAAAATTTAGAGAATTGAAAGTTATCATAGCTACAAAGCCATGGTTCCATCATTAAAAAAAATCTGAAAAAAACATTTCTCCCATAAATATTATAAAAGGTTTCTTATTTAAACTTTTCATATACAGTTGTAGACGAAAAAGCACCGATTATTAAGTGATAATAAAAATAATCAGAGATTATATACGCGCTTTTCTAAAATAAACAACTTGCAACAAAACCGCGGTTAAAACCAACGCGTTCAAGCGATTCGTGTAACTGACGTCATCAACCCGTGTGTCATCTTGAACCATATTATAACCGCGACACATAACACAGAAATTTTAGTTATTCGCTTGGATTTGATTAATGTCTACCGATAGTACCGACAGATTTCATCTTTTTTGGTTTGGCAGCACTGACTTTGTCACAGCTGGGGTATTACGTAACTTGAAAAGTGACATTATGCCTGTGTACTGTACTGTGTAACTTTAAGCATTTTCCGCGATTCGACGGTGTAGCACAGCGCACTACCGGGACCAATACTCAAATTTTCGCGAAGAATGGGAATAGGGAAAGACGGATGTGACGTCATCCAAATGTCAAAAGATCACGTGGTACGGGTAACCGCCTAACGTTTGTGAAGTACTAGCGGGTGGCAGGTCTTATGAAAATGTCATTTAAAAAACAGACATAGGTATCAATTGAAAATTTAATATTTAATCAAATCCAAAGGAATAACCAAAATTTCTGTGTTATGTACCGCGGTTATAATGTGGGGTTCAAGATGACACACGGGTTGATGACGTCCGTTACTCGAATCGCTTGAACGCGTTGGTTTTAACTGCGATAGTTTTGTTGCATGTTGTTTATTTTAGAAAAGCGGGTATATAATTTCTGATTATTTTTGTTATCACTTAATAATCGGTGCTTTTTCGTCTACAACGATGTATGGAAAGTTTAAAAAAGAAACCATTCATAATATTAATGTGAGAAATATTCAGAAAATAATTTTTGATGGAACCATGCCTTTGTAGCTATAACTTTCAATTCTCTAAACTTTTTCGCATGTGAAAGAAAACATTTATTGATTTAGCAGAAATGATAGGAAAAAGATGTTAGCAAAATCGTGTATAGGTGGACATCATCCAGTGAGTTTATATGGCCATATTGTAATATTCTTATGGTATATGACTACACAGGATAGTTTGTTAAGCATAGAAAGTAGATTTAACGTGTCCCCAACAACAGCAATGATTATAACTAATGAGGTGCTCTACTTTATGCTAAAACTGAAGTCAGCCTGAATCAAGTTCCCCAAAAATGAAGTTGAAGTACAATAAAAATATCCAATACCCGGCAAAATTCTAACTTGTCACATTCCAGATAATAACCAGAAATATAAAACTACTCCTGAGTTGGGTAAATACCACAATTTTGTGGTGATAACTATGACATATAACAGCTGATTCATGACGTCACGGATCTTATAACCAAACTGATACCCAGACTCCCTTGAACGGACGGGTAAATACCAATACAAAATGGTAAATACCATTTTCATTTGGTTATTCGCTTGAATTTGATTTTTGTCTTCGCAGTGCCGAAAAATGAGTTAAATTATTAAATCATGAATGGAGAAACACGTCCACCTGATTTCAAATGACGAGGGAGAAGGTCATCGAAGATATAGGAACCGCATTTGCCATATCAAATGCTTGATTTTTATTGATGTACATTGGACAAAAAACGATCGGTTTTTTAATTCAGAGGCCCGAGTAAAGATAACATGGCGACGCAAGACAACTATTCAAATATACTCTACTAGACTATCCGTAGCTAAATTTTTCTCGATTTCGTTGCACAATACTTAAAAAAATGCAAGTGAAGATTGAAAAATTGAGGATTAACGTTCTTAATAACGTTGTCTTTACCCCGGGATAGACATACGGTTTGAAAGTTGATCTTGTCACCTAGATTGCGGCATTGCCAGCTCGTTGGACGATTTTGCTACCTCTGCTATCACCAATTCCTTGGACCTTTTGTTCGAGGCCTTGCTCATAGTTTTGAGATTTTATATTCATTTACTCATATTGTTTGTTATCTTTGTACATTGAGTGAATAAATATTATTATATAAGAATACTTACAAGAACATTAGATTAGTGCACGTTTCTGAACATTTCTTTTTATAATAATTTATTACAGGGTGGCTAAGATAAGCATCAGACTAGGTTAAACTCAGTAATCACGCAATCAAGCATTTGTTTGCAACGCCTATTTAAATATAATGAAAAAGTAGAGAAAAACACGTTTGTTTATAACTAAAAAACAAATGTAACGTGATACATCGTTGAAGTCGTAGAAAAAGCTATTATTAGATACAGTGTAGCACTTTTCTAAAAACACCATCATGTAGTGCCTAAATAGTGCCATTAGTTTTTTGACATTTCTTAAAATAAAGTCAGACAAAAATAAATACGTTTTGGCCAAATTTTAGTTTTTCCCAAATACCTCAGTATATGATTAATTTCTCAGTGCATGCAATGTGCGCAATTTATTTAAAAAAACATATGATGTCAAACCTTACACACAAGTATATGAGTATGCAAGGCTCACCTAGTTTAATGCACAGATATCCTGTTTCCCTCAGAAGAGTTAGAAGTAGACCTAATTTTCACTTTGGAGACACTTGACAACCACGTCACAACACCAAGGCACCACTGAGAGACAATCGAGAACCTTATAGTGAACACCACTACTGAAAAAAAATAGCTAAACCGAATAGAGCTCTGTACAGAGCTGTGAACGCGTAGACATTCCGCTACGCCGACGGTTGCCGAGAGACTGAAGCGTGCGAGTGCTGTACCTCGCTGCGGCGATACGGTACGGCCGGATAGTACAGCCACGCCCCTTTCCAGCTGCCACTCCGCGCATCTGCTCCCGAAGCGACTCGATGTTTACGTTGACCGGTAGCACTCACACAATTGTAATACTTTGAATTATTCATTAGAAAAAAATTAATACATAACATTACATGTGATGATATTTCGATGATACACCAAACAGGAAATTTTCCGCTATTTTCAAAAATCGAAAAATCCAATATGGCGGCCCTAAGAAATATGAAAGGTGAGGAAAACAAAAGACGATTGAGACATGTCATACCTGCTACCTTATTTGCCTTAAAAAATGTCCAACTAATGTCACAATGATAGCTGTCAAATTAACGTGTTCGGATTTACTGGCAAAAAACAAAATTCGATATTTTCGGTTTTTTTCGCCGATATTTCCAAAACCAAATGACCGATCGTAGATCTGAAGCCGGATATCGAATGCACTGAGTTTCCTCTAAAACTTCCCCCATTTAACCTTTTCTGTCGGTATAACAGTCGCCGAGATCCCTGTATAGACAAGCGGATCTGGGACACACTGTACATGTTTGTGCTAATCGTCCTATGTCATCTCTTAATGCCGTTCAAGGCTCTTGCCAAATAAACTTGCGAAGTCAATTTCCTCAGACTATATTGTTTTTCGGAGAGTCCCATCAGTCAGAGCCACTTTATGGAGCTCAGCATAGGAAATTGTGATTTGAGATGGTGTACGTCCCTCACTCATTAGTAGGCACGAGAGGGTTTCAAATAACAGTCTTGTGGGGAGGCCCCCCATTTCTCATGTTTGCTGTTGGCCAGAGCTCATGACATGCGGACGCAAATGAAAAGGAGATACAAAAAACATATTTTATACGTATTTATTTATGTAAATTCCTTACGAATTACAGAAACAAAAATGTCTTACTCATATTGAGATAAATACTATCCAACGGATGTCAACTATGGCCCTAACTGAACCTAAAAATGAAATAATTACAAAATATGTTAGAATATGATGATGTGATACAGAGTAAGCAAAAAATAACCAACCCCAAACATGCCCATCTTACGACGTACACTTAATAATGGATAATATAAGAATTAACATAACTGTTTGGCTGAACGTTTCCGCCTGCTCTGTACTAATAGTACAAACATAAACCGAAAAATAACCAAAAAAATATTCAAGACTAAAGAATGGTATCTTCTGTCCGGTTTTTCAATGACATCTATGACCCTGCTGTTAACTGGAAGTTAATTCATAAAGTGTTTATCAATATCAGGTTTGTTTTTTGATGGTATTTAATTTTAACCAACTGCCAGTTAACTTCCAGCGCAGAAATAGAACCTTATTAGGTTTGTAGAAATAATAATAACCATCAAGACATTAAAAATAAGTCAGGGCGACTCTTCAGTGTGGGCTAGGTTGATAACTCCGATATTTTGCGTGGCATTTAAAAGGTTGAATACAAAAGTTTTAGCCGACAGTATCTACTTTTCTTGGAAAGTATTTTTATCTCTACAGGATAATTTATGACTACGTGGTGACCCAAATATACATTTTTTCAAATGAAAAGATCTGCATTTTATTGCAGATTTGGATAGGCCCAAACGAAGCAATGTAAGATTTATGAGAGTTTGTAAGACTGCTTTTTGAGTTACTGAAAACACAGGACAACTTGAACTTTCGACTTTATTGTATGAAGTTGGATAGATTTCATTTATAATAAAATACACCAATTCTAATGATCTGCCGTTACCAACCAAATGTTATTTTCTATTTTGAAGGGCTTGTAACATTTTTCATTTACCTAGTCATCTGTTTAAGAAAAAAGTTAGCTATAACTCAAAAACAAGTAATACAAACCCCTATAAGCTTTATATCAGACAAAAGGTTGTGAAAAGGGAAATTAAAGAATGTATCTACATATAATTTGATTTCCAGTATATCTCAGGGTCTATTTGAAAATTTTGAGAAATAATTCATTTCGCGTTTTTGACCACCCTTTATAAACTATGTAGAAAACTGTAAAAAGTAAGCAGGTAAGAATATAATATCGAAAAAAATTGTTCAGTCAAAAAATTCAGTGCTCTAAATTTGAGGATGTGCGAGTTGGCGTAGTTGAGTTTTTTCTTCTACTGTTGAATATCTCAACAATTTGAAAATAAAAACCTATAATATATCAAATTGGTGCATTTGAAAGCCTATTTAAGTATGCAAAATGTTGGTTTTACATTCAAAAAATTGTTTGTATATTTTCTAAGTAAGGAGCATACTGTTGGCTACAGTTTTCGCGACTAACTTTTTTAAATAACTGAGTTTTCAGACCGAACCCATACTAAAAACTCACCGTATCTGGAATCTTGGAATTTTAATACTCCAAATGTATATTTTTTATACCAGAAAGTATTTATTTATCGGTCACTGTTAGTACTTCTTCAGCAATGACAATTATTATGACACATATCTAAGTCCTACTGGCAGTATGAATGAAATCGTGTGATATTTCGCGTGATCTTAACCACTATAGCTTGGTTTTCATAGTTTAAAAGTGGATTAGTTTAAAACGGTACAACAGAACAAAATTGGAAATGTATGCTTAGCGCACTTTCCCAGTCCAACACAGCATGCAATTCCAGGTAGAAAAATATAATTTTGAAGCTATTTTCGAAATATATAATTTACAAGATTATTTTGTACAGTGTTTTTTATTTGCATTTCCAAAATAAAGCGTGAAATTGACTTGGGAAAGTTACTGCAGGTGCATACAATTTTCAAAAATAAAAATCATATCACAAATAAATCTATCACAAACATAAAATAGCGTACATCTAGTTAAATGACAGTGCTTTGTTGCAAAGCACATCACTTATAACTCAGTATAAGATACGATTAGCGGACAAAATTTCAGTAGTATAACACTCGTTTCCTTTATACAACAAACTGCAATGGCGGGGTTTATTTAAGGTAATAAAGTAAAGTAGACAATAATTTTCAAGTATTGGAGAGTTTGCGTTACTACAATAGAAAATTCAACAATCAAGTATGACTGATTCATTTGAAATAAGATTAATAAAAAATTAAGGTCTGTATTAACAAAAAAAAAATCATTTATAGTAAAAAAGCGTGGGGTGAAATTAACTATGTTTTCGTAATAATATGTTTGTAAATAGCAACTAAAAAATAATTTAATATCAAGCACTATATTGATCGTATTCCAAATTCATTAGTCGTACTTAATTACTGGACTTTCTATTGCAGTAACCCAAAATCTCCTATAGTTGAAAATTATTTTCTACTTTTTCGATCGACTTGCTATTGAATCGTGTTTTTTTTTAGTTTTTTTTTAAACTTTGTATAATTTGTCTTCTCAATGTTGTCTCAAAACGACAACAAAAGTACTTATAATCAAGAGCTTGGACTTTTGGTATATTTTATATTTGACAATAAATCTAAATTTATTTCCAAATTTTATCAAATTTCGAAATTTCCATTTTTTTTTAATTTCCAAATCTTCAAGTGCAAATTTTCAACTTAATCAGACTTCTTGAAATTGGTGAAAATTAGGTTGAAAGATTCCGTTATGTATGTAACAGGTCAAGCTAATAAAAGTGTGTTAAAGGATGGGCGAGATTTTCGAATTGCACTTTATTTTCTTTTGTTTGGAACCAAAACATCGGAAAAACTATCTTGTTTTGTAAAAGCGAGGCGTCATTTTTTCCAAAATTTTGTGCACTAACTGACGAATCTTACCTGAACTACAACTAGAACTGAAAAAAGAACATAGTTTAACAGCTAGTCCTTAATTTTAGACATTTAATTGGTTACATACTTTGATATATACGTGTAAATACAAAAATATGTGATACAGAGACATTACACATAAATTATTTGTTATGCATATAGTTATAGGTCAATTCTTCAAGATGCATACTGAGGACTATTAAAAAACGTATAATCTCTGGCACGTACCTTGAAGCAAATATCTATGGGTTAAATGAGTCTTATGATCAAGATCAATATTATTATTATTATTATCGATAATAGAAAACACATGCGGTTATAGATTATATGTTCAAGAAGGTGCGTTATCAGGTATGTTGGATATAGTAACTACACCTCTTGCACATGATAATTTTATAATAAATTTAAAATGCAACCCACGTCTGAGAAGTAAGCAGCTTACGATAATATTGATTTTGTTCACTAAAGGCAAAATTGCGTGATGCTACGCAATTTAAATTCACTTCAAATATGGGCAAAGCATATTAAATCGTCATTAGTAACAAAAAAAAAGGTTTATTGTTATGGATGGATACAGAACTTCTATCACACACGGAGTCCCATTTTAATCTCCATACCTAAATATGTCGAAAAACGAACATTCTAGAAAAAAGGTTTTAAACGAAAGTTGTAGGATTTCGAGTGGGAAAATCACGGTAACCTTGACAATGACATTGACTACGAAGTTCAAGGTCAAGCGATTATTTTCAAATGGAACCTCTCCTTTTCTCATCGGAAATTAAAAAAGACGCAAATTTTACGTCTCAACATCAATCACCTGAACCATCTCGAGGTCAAATCAAGACATTGAAAACAATTTGCTCTAGCAAAAATGTTTGACAGCTCAGTTGTGATGATCACCCAAATGTAACCTTGGCCAAGACCTTCACCTTAAAGGTCAAGTCGAAGTTTCCAAAAAAAAAACTCAGCTTTATAATGGAAATGGAAAAAGCGGGAAATTTTGACCTTAAAGTCAAGGTTTGATCAAATTTGAGATCAAAGCCATTCGGACGTAAACTAGCCTGCCTTTTCAATTTCCAGTATAAAAATGAGAGGCTTCCTTTGGAAATTTTTACTTGACCTTGAAGGTCGCGGTTAAACTCGCCTTAGAGTGATCGACAAAAACCTCAGAACTGTGCTGTAGAACATTTTTGCTAGAGCAAATTGTTTTCAATGTCTTGATTTGACCTCGAAATGATGTCGAACGTAAAATTTGCTACTCTTTTCGAAGAAAACGGGAGAGTTCTATTTGAAAATATTCGCTTGACCTCGAATGTTGTAGTCAAGGCCATTGTCCAGGTAACCGTCATTTTACGCCCTCGAAACCTTGCAACTTTCGTTTGGAACTTTTTTCTATTTCGACATATTTAGGTGGGGGGCTTAAAATGGGGCACCCTGTATATTGGTACGAAAGGGTGTATGAGAAATCATATAAATACAGAAAAATCACCAGTAAATTGACTTATGATATATTTGCTGAGAAATGATACGCAGACAATTTTGTCAATTTAAATATCGTAACATTACACAAGCGCACTTATTTCTGAAGTATCCTGCAAACAATAAAAAATTACTTTCGAAACATAGTTTTTGCACTAATATACCAATTACTGGATCACATAACAACTATTTCATTTGAATCAACTGATTTCTATCATAAAACTGATAAAAAATAGATATGAACTAAACCTAAGAAAAGTTTCTATGGTTGCAGTAAAGCTTTGCAACTCCTCCAACTTTCAAATATTTACGACAGTAATGATAAATTGGTATTCAGTTATGAATGGGAGAAGCTGTATTACTGCTACCAAAAGAATACAAATCATACTCGAGATCATACATCGATCCTCTTAAACCATACTATTGCAAATAATCCAAATAATAAAAAAACACTTTTATACTCGAAAACCGTACGAGTCAAAGTATCTCTGTTTCGAGCTCACTCATTTCTAAATCCAAGTAACATTGGCAGGCAGGAAAATAAACTCTTTTGCAAGAAGTTGATTTTGGAAAAATTGAGGATGTAGTTTTGTGCGATACAATATTCGTGACACCAGTTCAAGGTTCCGTAAATGTCATCGTTTTCGAAATAATGTCACCAATAATGTCGTGCAAGACTCTTTAGACGATTTGGAAACATCCTTGCTCTATGGCATCACTTAATTTAGAGCTAAATAATTCCAAGCATCTTATCTCGGTGACCCGAGAGATTATTCTGTCTTTTCACTTGCTCACTTTTTGTCGACCGCTATTAGAAAAAGGAGGCATTTTCTTGGTGAAAATCTCTAAAAAGTGAGTAAAAAAGTTACCTCCCAAAATTCATCAAGCTGCGTGACTGGCAGCTATTTTTTCCTAATATGCCATCAGATTTTCAGTTTACAAATTCTCTTTTCTGGATCTAAATGAAAGCCAAAGAAACAGCGATACCTCGACCACCCAAATAACATGCATGCCTTAAACAATTGCATACGAACATTATATGGTACAATCATGAAAAATAACACACTGTTGATCGCTGCAATACATATAGTCTTTTTAAACAGTAATTTGACAGGGATACTACTACATTTGCAGTACCCACAGATCCGTTCACAGATTCATTAACACAGACACAGGTGAATTGGCTAACACAGAACGCTTTATGAAGAGCTTGCAGTGCAGAATCGGCATAACCCTCCTTTGAACTAGTTTTTTACAAATTATTCAAACTTCCAACCAATTTATTTACAGTTTCATATAGCTATGTATTAGGCAAAGTCCGATGCGCGGTCAAACTAAAGGAATAACTGTTCAGATCGCAGAGCGTTGACGGTATTGGTAAAAGTTCGGCATAGTCTAGCGTTTTGGACTTGCTTATATTTTGGCTAACCTAAGTACGTTTTATTGAACTACGTTAATCAAAAATCAATACAAAAATAGTTCGTTCTGTTTGGTAATTGAAACCACAACACCATAAATCGAGATATAGAGAGACGACCAGTTATGTATTCTGGCTCACTCTCTACAATATACTTATACATTGCATTACGTTAGCGTTATCTCATATCCTTCTACTGCCACTGCTAGAATTTATCTGAGACATGTAAACTCATGTGCCCTCCATACTTCTTTGAAATGAGCTCATGTGCATATTTCTATTTCATAACGTTATAAAAACAATTTTATCATTTGTTTTGAAATCATATAGTGACCAACTGTATTTATCGTCACTGGCAAATATAACTAGCTCCTATAAGTACCAGAGGCGCAACATGTGTTTCAGTACTCGGAGATTTCGCTTCTGTTAGGTTTAACCGCGCCTCGATTTTTGACTACAAATTATATACACAACTTAATGAGATACCATGGAGTCATCTATGAGAATTTGTTTCAGCTACGTTTCCCTATTCGCAGTAATTAGAAATATATTTTGAAAACGTTATTGTCTGATAGATGGATGGCACTGTGACCAAATATATGAGCTTATACGATCATTTAGTTGGATAGAGCGCCATCTATAAGACTCTAAGCTTTTCAAGGTACGCTTCCAATTATTGCGGAGATAAGAAGCTTTCTCATAGATGACGTCATGGTATCTCATTTTATGTTTCATAACTTTTTCGACAGGTTGACTATCTTCAGGTAGAATACGTTAGTCATTGTTATTATACAGGATAATTATAAACGTAAAAGTTTCAAAGAATTGCTTCCTGGATTTTGTCATTTGATGTTTGAAATATTCAATAACGAAATGAAAATTCACATTTAAGTTTTATACATCTGCTATACGTACCAGCTAGGCGTTTCTGAATCAAGATCTTTCAGTCATTTAGGATTATTTCTATAATATTTATCAAACTATTATACCTACTTTTTCTGCTTTATTACTTTGGGAACCAGTTGCATTACAATCGGCAACCCTATCTCCGAACAACCATATACACAGTCTTTTCGATGGAATTTATTAAATCTGACGAATTAAAATCAGTCAATATCAAGGAAAATGTGAAATAAGTGCAGCTGACAAACTCTAAAATAATGTTAATGTCTTGACTTATCATTAAAATGTTCTCGACGTAAAAAGTAAAAGCTAAATCACTGTTTCTGATAAAATGATGATAACAATCACCAAATAAAAATGTGTTTGCGGTGTTTTTTTTTATTTACGGCAAACATGTTTGTCTGAATAATTTTTGAAGGATACCCAACCCTCTGAAGTAGCTCAAACGTCAATCCAACTTGAAAACCTAGAAGTCGCCAGCAGATACAACGAAAACTGTGACAAAAGATCCCAAGAAAAAATACTAATTGAAAGTGGAGTCTGTAGATACCAGCTTACATATGTACTATGGAAACAAGTATTCAAGTCATATTTTTTAAAATGTAACTTGAATAGTAATAATAACTGAAAGCAGGTTAAAATCTGTGATTTTCACAAGTTAAGCTCTAAATTGTGCGCCATTGTTAATCCTTAAAATCTCAACAAAGCTGGTGGTGGTGTACTAAGTTACAAAATTAATTTTTGACATATTTCTGCAATCAAATGCCGATTCTCACAGCGAGCATTGCACATTGTTCCCTAAAATGTTAAGAGTAGAGAAATTTCGATTGGATAGAGCATTATAATATCGCTTTTTCTATGAGATAGTCGCGCAAGTATAACTTTCAGCAGTCCAGAGGTTTAAATTCGAAATAAAACAAGTATGAAAAATACCAACTGGTAATCTGAATTACAGTGGGACAAAAAGTATCGGCGCACTTAATTTTTTTCTTGAGCTTCAATAATGAAAAAATGACACTACACTTATTTGAATACTAACATCCAAACAGTAAGTTTTGATGGCACTAGATGGGGCAAATTCATTTTTAACAGGAATTATGAAATTATTCTTACATTATCTTTAATTTGCTTTATCTATTGTCAAAAATAACTTTTTTGATGTTACATTTCAAATAAATTAAGTGTCATAAACTTAACATTTTAATTATATTCAAGGAAAAAATAGTGTGTCAATATTTTGTTGACCCCTGTAAATGGCAAATATTTTGCTATAACATTAGTTTTCTAAAAACAGTGTCACGTACGTCGGAAGAAAATAGCTAAAAAATATAAATTTTAAACAAAAGAATCGAATAAAAATGGTCAAAACATATTGCCGAAAATTGACGTTTGCGAGTCTAAAACACTTGAAGAATGGAGAATATGAAGACAGATAAGTCAGTAGAAGAAGAGCGTCTAAAAAGCAGATTTGAATCGTAACACAGTTTGTTCACACTCACTGACCGTGGAACGAGTATGAGGTCCCACGGATTTTAGAACACCAATGTGGAGGGTTGGGTCGACTTTTCCGTCGAGGACACCGGGCGGCAACATAAGTGATTTTAGGTCCCAATTTTATCATATAAAAAATGTGTGCAGACATTTCCTTCTTGTAAACGACTTCCTCATCACTATTATCTTCAATATCGATATTCACATCCAAATTTTCCACCTGATACAAAAATTTTGTTAAACGCACTGCTGATACTGATTCTTCTCAATAATTTAGCTATCATAAGTCTTCCAAACCATCACTTTCACATTGTGAATACATTGTTAATTCTCATCCGAATGACAGACAATTGAAAATCGCATATCGCATCATCCTTATATCAACTAGGCTGCCACCCGGCATAACGTCGAAAACCCCTTAGGGGCTGGGCCCTTCTGCTATCAGTTCCTAACGGAATCACACCCGAATTACGAAACACTTCCTAGGTCCAGTCTAGAAAACAAAAATTCTGATTACGTAGTCTATAGCAGAGGATCTGCCTATGGTTCCGTGAACACTGGCAACGCGGCACTGTCATCCTGTCCATTCTGAGGATAGGACGTTTCAATACTGTCAATCCCAACCGTTTTCCTTTATCATGTGCGCTAGTTCGATGATGAATTTGCCCTCTTTGTATTTTTGACTGGACTCGAACGCGTGTTCCTGAAAAAAACGATACACTACAATATTTATGATGTAACTAGTCGACAAATAACAACGCAGCAGGGTGAGCCATCTAGTGACAGCATCAGGTATCAACAAGCGCACTTCCCTAGGTCAACAAACACAGAGTAACCACTGTCTAAAGCTTGCCGTGCGTACTGCACATTTTCTACTACATCGAATAAATGTATTATGTTTCTATTCTTTGGGAGCGTTATTTTTTCCGAAACAATCCCTAACCGAAACAATGGACAGAAAGAAAAGATTCATTATACTTACGTATTTCCAACCGAGTGTTGTTTTGCAACATTCACAGTATATATCGGCAACTGCATGGAGACCAGTCAACAAAACTCTTTCCTCTGCTGGCCCACAGCCAACATTTACCCTGAAAAGAGAAACGTGAATAGATCGACTAAATACAAATCACGAGGGGAAACATCCTACCACGGTATATTAACACATGCTGACGTCTAATCAAAGCTAAATTTAAAAAAAAATCAATAAACTATGATTATATATTTTCTGTTTTTAATGTGAGTGCAATGGAGTAATTTTCACTTATGTTTGGTGTCTTGTGTTTTTTATTATAGATTGAAGCAAAAAGTGTTATGACTATGCGCTCATATAAAAATACTAACATTAGGTTAAATATGTAATAAATGGGTGAATTTTGGCAAAAAATGCAAAATTGCGAGAACCAACCAAGAGAATTCGCCAATTTTACACATTTAAGCAGAATACATTTTTAGTTTTGAATTTTCTTAGATGGTGCTCACCATCGAAACATCTGCCGATATCTTGGGTTTGTCGATTTTTTTATACATATCTGGATCTTCTAAATGTATTTGCTTTTGGATATTTAACTGCCGTTTGATGGTGATGGGGAAAATGCAGCAAGAGTGAGGAAAAAATATATCAAAAACATCAAAGATCAGTGGCACATATTTAAAAGCCTTGGAGATGATAGAATTTTCTAGAATACTAGATGTAACAGTTGCAATTGGAGATTTTGTTACTAATTCCACCTCTATATTGTAGGAGGAGCAGTGAATTTTATTTTTTGATTAACGTGTTCTAACTGAAGCTAGCCAACCAAATGTACTAAAAATTTTTCTTAGGTAAAATGACATACTGTAGCAATCATCTATAAGAAGTTGTCACAGCCGTTTTTCTGTTTACTATACATACTTTGAAAAGGTCAGCCTGTAGCCACCTATATGCTTCTATATGCTCATATAGACAGAGTCTTCTCTAAGACACTAACCTTTTCAAAGTATATAGTATAGAGAAACAGTTGTGGCAAGTTCTCAAAGATGACGTTGGGGTACTTCATTTTATCTCGGATGTTTTTTTGGCCGCGAAAATTAGGTTGGCTATCTTCAGGTAGAACGCTAAAATCAATGCTTTCATTTAATTTGAGCCTATTATGTGATTTTGGTAACTATGAATATAACTTCACAGAGCCACAACAGGCCTTCGTCGAACAAGAATGTTTCAGATATTCGTATTTTACCGCTAATTTAGTGGACTAAATATGGAGTATAGATTATACGTCAATGCCCAAGGAAAACTCGAGCAGTGATTGAGAGGTCTCTATAATTCACAAGCGATGTCAATTGATTTGATGTTAACCAGATAATAGCTCTAAATATTCAAACATTCGTTGATTACAATGTGGTTAGATTACATGAGCGCGTGCAAAAAATTTTCTCAGGGGACCCGATTATCGGCAGGATAACCTAAATACACCAGCGCCAAAATCTTTTTGGTAGCGGAGAGTAGCAAATTTTCTCAAGGAGGGGAGTCCTAAAAAATTTTACACAAAATTAAGCTAATGCAAATTTTAAGCACCAACCGGATTCTCAGGGGGAGGTCACGACCCCCATGATATCCCCTGCGGGTGTCCGTGCCAGGGATTGTATTACTTAACTTACACCCTGTATATACTCCTATCACTAAGAATGTATTTGATATAATGACTTTTTACTTTTTTTAGACTGCGCGCATGTATTGAGAAAAATTCATAAAAGTTGAGGCTAGCTATCATATGAGATAACATCCTGTATCAAATTTTGGCCTCTGGATCATAGAGACAAGGATATAAAAAATTTAGAGATTTTTTTGAAAATGAAAGGTATATCCAGGTTTTTTGTAAGATTCCAGATTGATAGCCATGACAGCAAAGTGAAGGTGTTGACACGTTTTTATTTATTGATGATTCAAAGCATAGAAATATAGATATTAACATAACTGCATAGGTAGGTACTTACACTGAATTAAATAAATAGGCTCGACCTTGGCTTCCTTGGAATGACTGAAACAGAAAGAAATAAATGCCTTAAATGTTCCAGTAAAATAAAAAATTAACATGTGAAGTTGGGCAACTAATGTGCGTTGGGAAATACCACAAATACATCTGGCAACGTCGCATCTGATTCGCTGGCGCGTTGCTCGTGGAAGACGAAGAGATATGAAAGGACAGCACCGTTGACGGAATCGTGATCTCTCCGATTGAAAAGTAGGGCTAAGCATAGGAAGAGAGATCACACAAAGGATTTTTCCATCTGCCCTCTTACTAGAAGGCATACACATTTCATAAAAGAAAATGAGAAATACTCTTGCTCCATAAGCAATATAAATTCGCTCTGCTGTGGTAGCAATGTACGTATTATCTAGTATTCATGAATTACAGAATGAAATTAATCAGTAATAAATACAATTATTAGGAATTATAAGTCTTCACACAATAAACGGTAGAAAAGCGAATAAATTAATTACTTTGTTTCCGTTTATAAACGTCCGCTGAATCACTTCAAGCATCAGTCCCTGTAGCGCAGCGGATAGCGCGTTGGACTTCTAATCCAAAGGTCGTGGGTTCGATCCCCACCAGGGATGCACTGTGGTAATTTTTTTTTGTTTTTTTATTCTTCAATATATCAAATAAAAGGCAATAGTTATATTATACATAGTTTGAATCAGTTATGGTAGTATATATAGTCCGGTCACTATCTTCGCATTTGATGGGAAACATTCTGATTGGGATTTATTGCATAATCTCATTTAAAAAAGGCGTATTTTAAGGAATCTGCATGTTACCGAAACCTTATAATCAAATTCCAAAAACTGTTTTTGTCGTTCTGGTTAAAGCATTCTTAAATGTGCTTTACAACTTTTCTCTAAAGTTAATAGTTTTCGAGATATAAGCGATGCAATAGTTGACAAAGTGCAGAATATGTCATTTTCGACAACGAAAAACAATATGAAAAAACGATAATTCAAATAATGCCAATGTTCCTAAATATTCTTTAAACATCCATTAACAAAAACCCAAACCATTTCAGGGGTGCTGTTCTTGTAAACCTTGATTTTTTTGTTGTGAACCAATCGCGGACTCGGTAAATACTCTGCGTGAGTGCGAAAGAGATGCATCATTAATAATTAAAAAACAAAAGATGTACAATAACAAACAATACCTTCTGAAATGCTTTGGGATTTTGTTAATGGATGTTCTATCGCATCTTTGTATTCAGAACGTCCCAGAAAACCTAGAAACACTGACCGGAACGAGAAAAATATTTTTTTGAATTTGTCTACAAAAAATGTTTAAAATTTGTTTGTCTGAAATTTTGGCTTGGCAACATGCAGATTCATTAAAAGGAGCTGTTTTTGAATAGGATTGTGTAAGAAATCCGTATTATAATATTTGTCCCATCAGATGCGAAAATATTGCACGGACTATTATCACACTAGAACGAGACGGAGACAAAATGTTTTTTTGCGGATGAACATACATGATACTCCTTCAAAGCTTGAACAATTTTGTTACGATCTGAAGCTGCTGATATGTATTTTGTTGACTGACTAGTCCATTGTTGTATGACTTACTGTAAGGTATTATGAATTAGGTATAACTGAGAATAGAATTGCTTTGAAAATTGCGTGTTATTATGGATGACAGTTGTGCTACTATCAAATCTTCGAATCATTCATAAATATGACGACATACGTAATTACTTCAGTGGCGGCTCGTGATTTTACAAATAGGTGACGCAGGATTGACCGACCCCCCCCATACCATGTAGAGCGCATACACAAAAAAAACATGAAATAACTTACCTAAATTCAGTAACTCGAAAACAAAGTCAGGATTATCAGGCACTTTTCATTGTTTATATATGAGAGCAATTCGTCGGTCCTTCAAATTAGCAAACTTATTTATAACGTCATCGTAAAACGGCTGTGACACTATCAGTTCATTTAATAATTCTTTTTCGATCGATATTTTTGCCAAGTTCGTAAACCGATCTTCCGACATGGTACTTCGTAGATAACTTTTGATTCGCTTAAGGCATGAAAAACTGCGTTCTGTCGAAACACTTGTTGATGGAATGGTCAGTATTAAACACAAAAGCTTATATGCCTCCTTGAAGATACTGCGATTCTCAAATAGCGATTCCTTTAATAAGCGGGGTTCCATATTTTGATATTGATCATCGCTATAGATCAGCTGCAATTCATTTTTCAGTCTCTGAAAATCTGTGAATGTATTTGAATAAAACTCCTTCAAATTACTTAGGGCTTCTGTTGGAAATTTTTCTGAATATGTTTTGAACTTCGAAGTGTCCATTAACGTCACAAAATGAAGCTTTTCCATATCTTGGAAACGGGTCGTGATTTGCAGAGAAATGGTATCCAAAATTTCAAAATACAGCACTCTATATCTTTCAATAATTTGATCCCGAGACAATGTTACTCTTGTCCTGCCGTCGCGGTGTTCCGTTTGTACACTTGTTTTTGATGCAGCCAATTCGAAAATATTCTTAAATGTTTCTTCATTTCTCTTCTTGTTTAATTGTGTTTGAACACTTTTAATTTGCTTAATGCAAAGGTTTATATCAAAAGATTTTTTTTGCAGTGTGTCGAATAGTATATCTGTCATTCCAAAGATCTCGTTAAAAACAACAACCAAAAGCACGAATTCGAAGTCATGGAATTTATTTAGAAATCCGTCGCTCTGTCTAACCGAGGCTTGATCGGAGGTTGGATCATTAATAATTTCAGTAAACACTTGCTTTAAGGAATCCCACTCCTTATTTATAAAACTGATAACTTTAGCATTTGATGTCCATCGCGTAATAACGGAAACAGGTATTCGACGTCCTATTATTGAGTCTGCTACGTTAGTTCGTTTCGGAGAATGGTGAAAAAATGTCGGTAAACCACTTATAGTTGCAAAAAAAATGCGGCATTTTGTAATACTATTGCAACTTTGTTGTAACACTAGATTCATGCGGTGTGCGAGGCAATGAACAAAAACTGCTTGGGGTGCCTGTTCCTTTATTTTAGCCTGAAGACCATTTAACTGTCCGCACATGACGCTTGCACCATCGAAACATTGTCCAACGAGTTTTGTTTTGTAATCAAAATTTTGTAGACACCTTGTCACGAGGTTAAATAATGCTTCAGATGTTCGGCTGCAGCTTACATCATGAAATCCTAAAAATCTCTCCACAAGTTTTCCTTCAAGATTGACATAACGGATTATTATGCTGCACTGCGATTTGTGGGCAATATCGGTGGAATCATCCACCTGAATGGAAAAAAAACTGCATCCCTTTATTTCATTTTCCACATATTCATCAATGCATTTGACAATGCAGTCAATAATTTCGTTTTGAATGGTTTTAGAATTGCCCGCAAATATTGAGGCAATTTTTTTGTAGTGCTCCTGAATGTCTACAGGGCTTATAGATACAAATGCTTCTAGGAGCTCTTTGAAATTTCCACGGTTAATAGAAGTCGTATCTTCGTTGTGGCCACGAAACGCCAGTTCTTGTTTGCCCAAAAAAAGGACAGCGCGTATTGGCAATTCCATGAAACGTCTATTAAGTTGCACGTTTTCGTTAAACTGTTTAATATACAGCCTGGAATTTTCGCGTAAAGCATCCTCAATAGTAGTGAGATTTTTCTTCAATTTTGAAAAACCTAGTGCGCAACGCATATGATCCGATGATCCTTCATGTTTACGAAGAGCACGAGTCACATTCCCGAAATCATTGAAACCGTACTTGCTCCACACGGTTGCTTTAACACTTACAATCAAACACGGCACACAAAAAAGTTTATTTAAATAATAGCTACCACATAACCATGCAAACTCACTATACCACGATTTTTTAAAATTTCGACTGTACACTTTGTCCTTAACTTTAGCGGTTTTATTTACATTTAATATCGGAGAAGGTTTTTCGGAGTTTAAAAAGTCTTTTTTATCATCATTACTCCATTGAGAAAACGATTTTTCCAACATAACACAAACCGTATCATAGACAGGAAACATTGTTCAAAACAATGAAAACTAACCTCGACACAATACGATATCGGTAATAATGCAGAGCAGACTAGACGCAAATTCATAATTTGCTTCACTTGCCTCGGCCAAAACGGAAGCGCGCGTGCCGTTGTCATGGCAACCGTCGTATTTGCTCGTATCTGTACTGGACGCAGCAATGCGGTGTAAATAAAGCTGCTTCAGGTCTCTGTTTCAACACGCCAAATTAAGCGCAAACGTAGGCGCGTTGTTTTTTGCGGGGTTTCTCAGTATTCTGTTGATCGCAAATACAAATAAAGAATGTCCGAAAAATAATTTTTTAAGATATAAATGAATTTTTTTTATAAATTTCAAAATAAAAAAAATATATTTTTTTTGAAATTGCAGGTGAAGCAGCGCTTCACCTGCGTCATGGGGCGAGCCGCCACTGAATTACTTAGTTTAAAAAAGGAATTGTAATCGTTTTTAAGCTTTTGGATAGCAATTACATATATTTAGAAAACGCAGGATTTTGACCAATTGAAGATCCTTTTACATTAACGACACAACAAACCCACAACTACAGATCTGAAACTATGAGTATACCACAAACCTATTTGAAAGATTGTACAGCATAGCTACAGCACATCTGGAACATTCTCAGTTATGTAACTTTCAGAAAATTATGTATATTCTTCCTTGCATTTCGATTCGAAAAGTAAGGAAAAAACACTTATGTCTAACTGATTTTAAATTTTGATGTCTATAATATTTTCTAAAAAATCCCCTTAGAGTAATATCTAGCACTACCAGACACTTGCCTCCGGCAGTAACTTCTGTCATACGCTATAAAGCTTTAAACAGGGTGCCCAACTGAATTGACCTCCCTCGAACTTTGTCAGCTAGAGTACTGAATTTTTCGTCAAAAAAATATATGATTTGAAATTTTCTCTTTATTGACTTACTGTTTCTAATTTTGGCTACAATTTTTGTATTGAAATTTTTTTAGATATCACGTGTAATAATGAACGACCGAGCCCATACTAAAATCTTACCCTGTACTCAATACCCCCTGCTTTGTCTTTAAGAAAATAAGGTACGTCTGGCAGACATATTGTCGACAGATGCGTTGCTATGTAGTAATAAATATGCTGTGAAGAACATGATTTAGATTGATATCTGATTGATCTCACCTTTGAGATAAGTTCGTCGTGATTGGCTAGATGCGCTCGGCAGTGTATACAGGAGTAGGTGCGGTGACACTGGGGAGGCAGATACGCCTGGAAGGTCTTCACCATTGTGCCGCTGGCGCTGCTGCGATTGCCACGGACGCCGCAGACGCCTCCAAGTTCTGGGCTGCTCTCCCGACTGCTGCTCCGACTGCTGACCGAACCCCCAATACCTGTAACAAAAAAATATGGCGTCAAGTAGGTTGACGCGCGGTTCCCACGCAACGCCTTAATCAGTTCATAAAGAATTATGTTCAGCAGAAACTAGACCCCTCTGAGAGAAAAGTCAGTCAAACAGCTCCATACAATTAGTTCTCACACATTCTTTCGCTGTCCTACCGGTAGTGCAATACAATACTTTCTCGCTGTCATCAGTTTATTATGATTATGCTCGGCACAATTAGCCCCTTTTAGAAAAAAGTTGACTGAGAACATGTATAACAAAAAATAAATGGATCAAGTCAGTCAAACAGGCTCATACAGTCAAAATTTGCGTATAATTCTGAGGCTTTTTGGATATGGTCTCCCCTGAGGAAATTTACTACCCCCTGCTCCTAAAAAAGTTTTGGAGGAAGATACGCTCTTACACAAAGTTGCCGATGAATGACCCTCCCGCTCCCCCCGGAAAAATAATCCTGCGGTCGCACATGAAAGTTGCTATGAGCTATGACCAATCTTGCGTGAATGACGATCCACGGCAGTAAGGCAGCCACTATAAACTGCGAAATACGGCCAGACCGCGACGCATGTATACTAAGTGACATATAAATCCGAACACCCAGTTTAAATGGTTTTATTTTAATAAAATTTTGTATAAGAACTTAATGAAGCATAATAAGTAAATGATAAACATTTCAAAATAATTGCACTGCTTTAAAGCCCTTTGACCTTTAATAATGTGTGGATGCACCCTGATGTGCTACGCATTCTCCAACGCGCCTAGGCATGCTTCTGATCAGGTGGTCAATGTCCTCCTGTCCACACTTGCTCAATTGGGGATAAGTCGGGAGATCTTGGTGGCCATGGTAACAATGTGACATCATTATGTTGAAAGAAGTCTATTGTGACTCTTGCAACATGTGGTCGGGCATTATCTTGTTGGAAAGTTGGATCTGCCAGGGTGTCAAGATAGGGTAAAAGATGGGGTTCTAGAACTTCGTGGATATAACGCTGCGCGTTAATGTTACCTCTGATGAAGATTAAAGGTGACCTGGAACCATAAGCTATAGCACCTCAAACCATAACTCCAACAGTGTGATGAACATGTCTTTCAACAAAAAACTGTGGATTCCTCCTTTCACCACATCGCCTTCTAACCCTGGCACGACCATCGTGCATGCCTAAACAAAATCGAGACTCGTCACGAAAGACAATACTGTTCCATTCCTGATCCCAGAGTGACCGTTGTCTGCACCACTCAAGGCGATTACGTCGGTGTTCTCGAGTTAAAGGGAGGACCCAGTGTGGCCGGTATGAAAACAAGCCAAAACTTTTCATTCGTCGGTAAACACTTCGCATGCCAATAGGTCTTCCGTGTTCTGCAAACCATTCATTTGCAATGGACCTGGTAGTGGAGAAACGGTCCCTTAAGGCCAATAATCTTAGGCGGCGATCTTCAAGGTCTGTTGTTCTACGGCGGCGTCCAGTGCCCCTTGCTCTTTGCGTACGGCCTTCTCGAAGCCATGCCTGACAACACCTAACCACAGTGTCTACACTTCTTTGCACTCTAACTGCAATTGCCCGAAAAGAAAGTCCAGCTTCCCGAAGTCCCACTATACCGCCACTATCAAACTCACAAGTTGACGAAATCGTACAGGTCTCCGAACTCTAGGCATCGTAACCGATCATAAAGGATGTCAAGAACCAAAATCCGCCAACGTTGATTCTTTACTGCGGCTGAAATATCATTTTTAGAGCGTTAGTGAATTAAAAAAAAGCAGTATAAAAACCGGAATGTCCAACGGATAAGGCTGAAAATTTTTTCACTTGTTATTTACAGTAAGATAAATACATTCACCAACTTTTATTAAAATAAAACCATTTAAACTGGGTGTTCGGATTTATATGTCACTTAGTATATATCCAAGAACGCGTCAGTTGAAAATATTTTTCCATCATCTTAAGGTTTAAAGGTGGATGTACGGGAAAATCTATGATGTGTGACATATGTCTAATAGGTGCATAGAATTACCGGGGTACGGAACGTATAAATGTGCCAACGTCAACCAATTGAATATACCCTCCCCCACCACCTTGAACCTGTAATTCCCAATTTTTAACTCCTACAATATTTTCTGAAAATAACGAAGCATGATCGAATTTTATTTATTTTTTGTTTTTGCCCATAGCTACGCCGCTACTGGAACGTTTATCAGAAACTACAAAGCTTTTTCGTCCTTGGCATAGTAGTAACATTGTGTGAAAATTTCATGAAAATCCGAGCGGTAGTCTCCGAGTTATAAACAGGCCAAGGATTGGCCGACAGACCGATAAAAATGTGAGGCGATTTTTTGTGGTGTCATATAACGTCCAAAAAACATCTCATAATCGAAATTTTTATAGGGTAAGACAAGAAATAATACTCGCGTTGTATTTAACTGTCATACTACAAGACTTATAGAGGTACAACGTAAAAAATAGCGCTTATTTATGGCAGAGTGATGAATCAAATAATGATTCTTTAACTTGAAGCTCGAGTAAAATGCAAAATTTCTCAAGCCGTAATCTGATATTTTGCGCTCTCCACACACGGAATGGTTATTACCTGCTCCCGCTGCTGCTGCTCCTGCTGGCACTGATGGGACGACGGCAGGCCATGCGGAGCTGTCACACCTGAAACAAGGAAAATTCGTATTAACATACTACATTTTTGAAAAAAAAAATGCAAAACCGAAGGGTAATGTATAGATCGATCACATGATGACAAAGAATCAAGTAAAAAAATTTACCATATACATGAAACAAACCACCTACCACCTGAAATGTACGTAGTCGTGCCATAAGCTCTGTCCCATGATAATCTCATGATAAAAATGAAACAAGATAAGATATATTTATATGAAAGATATTATTTATTCGACAACATTTTTAGAATTCATAATCAAACAGTTTTATTCAAAATGTCCCCCCTTGGCCTTCACACACTGCTTCAATCTCGCGGGCCACTCATCTATCACTGCACGCACAGCTTCCAAAGGAATAGCTGCCGCTGATCGGATCAAATCCGCTTTCAGGGACTCGATATTACGGTGGGCTTTGGAGCAGGCCAACTGCTCTAGCAGGTCCCACAACTTGTAGTCTAAAGGACTGAGGTTCGGACTCCCTGAGGGCCAATCTTCCGCAACAATGAACTCTGGCACATTGCTTTCCAGCCAGCGCTGCGTACTCTTAGCCTTGTGAGCGGGGGCGGAATCCTGCTGGTAGACCCAGTGTTGGTTGGCAAACAATGTACCACTTAAAGGCTTGACGATAGGATCCAGTATGTCGCTCTGATAGTTTGCCGCTTTTGTTTTCACGCCCTGTTTACAGAAATGGAGCTGAGTGACCCCTTCGTAGGACACCCCCCACCAAACCATGACTGACGCAGGGTGGTGGCCTCTCTCAACTCTCGGAATGATCTCCGAAGCTTCCTGTGAACTCCTTGCATACACTTTGTCATTTTGTCGGTTGAATTTTTCTTCTATGGTGAAGATTTTCTCATCCGTGAACAAAATCTTTCGGAATCCCCCAGCTGCGTACCTCTCCAAGAGCTTCTTGGATCTTGTCGCCCTGATGTGTCGCAAGGTGGCCGTAAGTCGCTGGCCCGTACGTCTCCGGTAAGCCCCTAGCCCTAGGTCTTGTTTAATGATGCGCGACATCGTCCGGACAGGAATCTTCATTTCCCTGGATAGGATCTTCTGCTTCCGGAGTGGATTCCTTTGAATCCTGGCTTTTACGGCTTTGATGGCTGCTGGAGTCCTTACTTGACGAGGTATTCCGCTTCTTGGCCTGTCATCAACAGAGGACGTCTCATTGTACCGCTGAATGGTCCTAGACACAAATTTACGCGATATTTGAAGGCCGCGTAAGAGTTCAAAAATCTGACTAGCACTGTGATTACACTTATGTAAAGCTATCACTGCAATACGGTTCTCTGCCTTGCCCCACTCCATCGTTATGCTTCGAGAGATCAATACAAACTGAGGTATATGTAATTACCCGAAAAGCGCTTAATCAACTGACACCACAATGTAAACAATCGGACAAGTATTAACAGGTCTACACTTGTTTGAAAACGAGGGACAGAACTTATGGCATGACTACGTATACAGATTGTTCCAAATCGCCATTAGTCCAGTCATTTTGGGCAACATAAAAAAAGTAGGGTTGAACGATTTTTCGGTGAATTAAGAGTAGTCTCAACAAAGTTACTATTGTATTCTTGTCAACGCGTAACCTAAGTAACCGCTGTACCGTTTATGTCGGAGAGAAGCAACATTTATTGTCAAAAAGTATATGACGTCCTCAAACTTCTGTTAGTCGAGTAATTATTTAGTAGAAAACCGATCATTTTTGAGCGTGACATACCAAAATGTTTTGGAGAGTAAAATATGAAAACAATTTTTGATACTTTGCTGGCCGCAAAATGAAACCACGTATGCAGGGATTAATTTTTACTAATGTTTGAGCCAAGTGCCATCTACCACCAGAATCGACCACTGCGACAGTGAATCTGAGCCCACCGGTTGGGACTGTCCACATCTTAATCCGCGAAATGGAAGTTCAGCCGCCACGTGACCGCTAGATGGCGACGATTATAGCTGTGTAGTAGATGTGGCCTCTTACCATTCAGCAAAACAAAATAAACGTGTTGTGCTTTCGTCCGTCCGACCAAAGACAGTCAACCATGGATAGCTGTTTTGTGCTTTTTGGCCACTCACCAGCATTGTCTAGGCTTGGGTCTCTCGGACAACGAACGAAATAATAGTAATTCTATAAAAAGTGTGGGATCTGTCGAATATAAAATATATGGTTGGAACGTTAGTAAATATTCAGTCCAAGTTATCTGCTTTCATTTGGCGGACAGCAAGACATTGAGATTTATCACCACGAAAACTGCTAGGGACTGTCAATGACAATAATAATGCACAAATGGTATCTTTGTATTTAAAAAATAAAATGCCGAGCAACATTTAGAATATATACCGCCCATTAAAGGTTAACGATCTCAACAACGGGTCATAGTTCATGAGTGGGAGCGGCATTATCGGTCCAATTTGGAATCAAATCAGTAACAAAGTATTAAAATTGCATAACGTAGCTTATTGCTCACCCTAGCTTGCAACGTTTTATTAAATAATACAACGACAAGGCGGGGCTTTCGTAAAACCAACTACATGCAATTTAAAAATTAAAAATGATCAGCTGTTTGTCACGGAAATCATGCTATGTGCTGTTAGATATCATTATCCTAAAATTGCATCTTAAGCTTTGAATCTCTGAGAAGATTACAGCACTATAAGCCCTAACATTACAGAAGTGAACCACCCAGCCTCATCTTTATGTATGGGGAAGTGACGTAACAGAAGACGTCAGGTTAGTGCACCTAGCAGACTAGATATTGGTGGCTTCACGAAGAAAAGGCATAGCAGAGAAAAATGTCGTCTAGTAGGTTGGCTCTACACTTCCCACGCAACGCCGTCATCAGTTCATAAAGGATTATCTTCAGCACAAGTTAGACCATATCGAAATAAGTCAGTGCCATGGACCTTATATCCTGAATGCAGGATAGTTGCTATGCTCTCGTTCATTGCCCGAGAGACCAAGCCTAGATGCTGATGAGTTGCCAAAAAGCACCAAACAGCTGTCTGTGGTTGGGAGTCTTTGGTTGGACAGATGAATGTAGCATGTTTAAGTTAGACCCTCTAAGAAAAAAGTTTATTACTTCGTGTCGCCTCTGCCAAGATCTAGAAAGTATGATCGGTCAAATGTAGACGCAGGAACGCTTGTCGAAAACATGTTTCTACCGTTTGCTAGATGCTGCTAATTCTGATGCAAACCGCACCAACAGATAGCGTGCTGTTGCCACTTTCACACTGGTAGATTCTGGTAATAGATGGCACTTTGTGCTCTCTTACTTCGATACTACGTTTCTGCTTTAAATATACCCTGTATCCTCTTGATGAATGACAATCTCCAATGGTACTGCTTTTGCAGCTAATTTCCAAATCAGTGATATATGTAAGGTTTCTGCAAATTACTTTTTTCAAAAATAAAGTTCAACTACAATCTATGAACGCTTAAAGCAAATGATGCTTCACATTACAAAGTAAACGTTGCATGCCTTAAAACTACTTTTATATATTTTTCATATATTTGATCAATAACATAACTGTTGCAATTTGCGAGACATATTCATTCTGCAATCTACTCAGTAATCAAAACAGACTTCCGCACGTAGAAAATACCGCTTGATTGAACAGAGGCAATTATGATTTCCATTCATCCCTGATTTCGATTTTCCAAAAATAAGTTCAGGCTCTTGCTTAAGTGCAACGACATAAACATATAGCATTGAAATATTTATAGCCCAAGTGACCTCTTTCTAAATTTGCATCACGATTAAATTAAGCTGTTAGATATATGCAGATGTTTCAGAATTTGTAGTTCAACAAATAATGTCTACTATAATATCTTCTTAGCACAAATCAAGGATGATTTTGTTTCTAAAGCCTAGGTATTTATAAAATGACTGAAGATATCACTGGTGGTAAAGGGAAAAACGTTTTCTTGGAATACATCTATTCTATTTGTAACGGTTGTACACAACACATATTTCAGTATTCAACAATATTTAAAAACCCTTTAGAGCTGTGCCCACTCCATCACACCAGAATCAATAGTCAGTTTCCATGAAATAATTAATAATTACGCTCTTACACAAAATTGAGAAAGACCCAAGAAACAGGGTAGTTCATCCATTCTGAAAGATTTGAAGAATGATGCGGACACATAATAAATACACATGTGACCATCAGGTCTTGGTGTCCATTTGGTAACACTCAAATCAAGGCCATTTATCTTCGCAACCCAGTAACCCATTATTTAGCTCGTCATAAAAAGTGATAAAATACGTGAAACTTACAAACTAACAAAAGAATGATCAAGAAGTAGTAGTGTCCATATCCCAAGTTATATTTGAGCAAATTTAATTACCATCAATTTACTCTTCAAGACACTTGGCGAGGAAATATTGTAATCGCGAAAAATTTCTAAATTATGTTTTTTGGATGTACATCACGCGAAACAAACACTAATTTTCGTCACTCTCTCTGTATTAATGTCCGTCTCTCTGTTTGCCCCATTGGCCCCTGTAACTCGGAAAGTACCGGTCGAACGTTAATGAAATTTTGAAATGAGATGCCAAAGACGAAAAAGCTTTGTAGGTTACATAAATCGATCCAATGACGGCGAAGTTACGAAAAAATACACGAAAAGAAAAAAATGATTAAAAATCGTTTTGGTTTTTCGAAATTACAGAGACTCCTCATCGTCGGAAAAAAAATTGTAAGTGCTGCTGTTTGGTATCACTGAAAGACGCTCTATTATTAAGAAGCTTACGATACTGATAATACTACGCTTTTTCTAGATACAATAGTTATGCACATTTCGAGACGCTGGTTTTGAATAGCATGTTCACCTCTCGTAACCACCCAATGACACCAGTAAATAGACCTGACGATAAAGGTACGGGTATGGGCATACCCCCGAGCAGGTCTCGCGGCTAAAACTGCCGGTAACAACAGGCGTGGAGCGTACATTTTACAACCGATTGGCGAACATTCCAGAGGCCAGTGGCG